AGGAGGAGGTTGGGGCACCTCGGGCGAAGCGGAACAAGGGCACGCCGTAGCAGCTGGCCTTCCTTCCGCGGAAGTCGCCATCGTCGACCCATACTGGGCAACTCGCGGCACCTGCTGGGAGGTCTTCCTCTCCCAGATCAGTACGCCCCTGACACACCCGAGCAAATACAAGAAGAGTCAGAAGAAGAAGAAACCTACGAATTCACGGGAGAACCAGCAGAGTTACCTGAACCTACCGAGGAGCCAGAGCCACCGGTGCAAGGACCACAAGAAATTGAGTTCATTGGTGCCGAATACAGTTACTTCAGGATTCCCATGTCGAGACTCCCAGCTCAGGATTGGCCCGACCAGGGCCTGCCGCCCAACCAGCGCCTGCTCGTCACCGGAGACCGCGTCGAAGCTGGCGACACCGACGATGTTATCGGCATACCTCACACGCTCCTGGAGAAAATCGCGATTCATGCGCTCGCTACCGGCACCAACGACGCAGCCGACGCAGGACCTGAAGGAGAGGCAAATAACGAAGTAGCACGACAAAACTACTATCAGAAGACAGTCGGCTACCGTGCGGACCCAGCAACATGGCACCAACGGCTGGGGCATCCCTCTCACGCCACGCTAAAAAATTCTCTCAAGGCCGGAGTCTTCGATGACAACGCACTTCTCCTCCCCCGAGACGGCTCCCTCATTGCGGACTCTCCCAATCCGCCATGCATCGTTTGCCCAACCGCATCGCTCAATCACCAGCCATTCCCTGACTTACCTCCGGGGTACGAACGCTATAAGCCGGTGGATAAAGTCTACAGTGATTTCATAGTACTCAGCCAGGAAGGGCTTGAAGGGGAGCAGTACACGCTTACCTTCATCGACGCCTCTACGCGCTACGTTTGGGCCATCAACACCGACTGCAGGTCACTGGCCTTCGAGTGCTTCATTGCGTGGATGAAGCGAGTCGAGCGACAGTCAGGGCTAAAACTCAAGGCCTGGCAGACTGACGGAGCCCTAGAATTCTTTTCAGACGAGTTCAAGGAGCTCTTCAAGCAGAAGGGGATTGAGCACCTGGTGTCCCTGCCCTACGCTCACCAACAGCAAGGTGTAGCACAACGGACAAACAGGAGCCTCGCCACGCGGATGAGGGCCCTGATGAAGCAGTCGGCCATCCCAACCAAATACTGGCCGTTTGCGATGAATCACGCTGTTCGGCTGCACAACTTGCTGTCCTCGCGAAGCCTCAAGGACAACAATTCTCCTTACCGGGCATGGACGGGCAGAAAAGCAGATACACGTCTGCTTCGGGTGTTCGGCTGCATGGTACAGTACAGGACCCCACACTGCGAGGACGGGAAAATTTGCTGACCGAGCACGATGGGGCATCCACCTCGGAATCGAAAAGGAATTCAAGGCGTGGATCGTGCTGGACTACGCGACACACGAGGTGACAAAATCACGTGACTGCATCTTCTACGAGAAGCTGACCCTGCCTCTTTTCAAGGAGCACCAGGAAGCCGACAAACTGCCAGAGAGGCACTTTGAGGGCCACCGCAGTTTCGCCACGTCACACGACGAAGCTGACCTGGCCGAGGATGCAGACGCACCTGATGTCACTCCCATGGACTCTGCTCCGAACATCCCCCTTACAAGCCAATTCGGAACTCCGATATTCGTGCCCGTACACCAACCCGATCCGGACGATATAACACGTGAAGCTTATGACTACAACAGTGAAGCGCGCCGCTCACCCGATGCCGAGTTACCACAACCCAACCTGTCGCAAGACACCCTCCACCTCGGGAACGACAGTGATGACGACGTGGTCGAAGTTACCAGCTTCCACGACTACGATCGCCTTCACTACGAAAAGACCAACGAAACCGGTCTTCGGGTTCTCGGTCTCACCGTCGCTGTTCGCCACACCTCGCCAAAGGAACCAACTACCGTCCGACAAGCCCTGTCTGGTCCCGACAGTGACAAATGGAGAGCAGCCATGGCCGCCGAAATCGCGTCGCTGAAGAAACGCGGAACCTGGAAGCTGGTCCCACGATCGTCGGCCAAGGGGAGAAAAATTCTCAGCGGCAAATGGGTTTTCCGCATCAAAACTCTCGCCGATGGCTCGATCGACAAGTACAAGGCGCGCTGGGTGGTGCGGGGATTCGAGCAGACTCACCTGGTGGATTTCACTCTCACCTACGCTCCAGTCGGCCGTCACACCTCGGTGCGCATTCTCATCTGCATCGCCGCCGTCAAACAGCGACCACTCCGGCAAATCGACGTCGGCAGCGCTTTCCTGTACGCTCCCGTCGATGCCATCATCTTCGTCGAGCAGCCGCACGCATTCGAAGAAAATGACGGCGCCGTGTGCCTCCTCCAAAAGTCTCTCTACGGAATCAAGCAAGCTCCTCGCCTATGGCAACAGTACCTCCATTCCGTCCTCCTTGAGCTCGGCTTCACTCAGCTACCGCATGACCTTGGCATGTACCGGCGCGAATCGCGGGGAAAGTTCATCCTCCTCGTCGCTTACGTCGACAACCTTCTCTACACCGGCGACGACACGGAGCTGCTGGACCAGTTTGAGGCCGACATCAAGGAAAAACTGGAAGTGACCGTCAACCACAACGTCACTCAGTTCCTCGGCCTCAACGTAACTCAGTCCGCCTCCTCCATTCACCTCTCCGCCGCCAAGTACGCCGAGACCCTCGCGAAGCGGTTCGCCATCGCCCCCATCAACCTCGCCACCCCCTATCGCACTCCTCCTCCTAACCACGAGCCCGACACCACGCCACTCTCTCCCGGCGACCATCGTCTCTATCAGCAGCAGCTGGGATGTCTCTTGTTCGCCGCCGTCACGTGCCGGCCCGATCTCTCCTACGTCGCAAGCCAGCTCGCACAGTACCTGAAGCGACCTGAAGGGGAGAATCTACTGGATCTACGCCGAGCACTGCAGTACTTCATCTCCACTCCCGACGTCGGTCTCACCTACGAAGCTAACCTCACCGCTATTCTGCTGCTCCATGGCTACGGAGATGTTGACAACAGACGCTCCCGCACAGGATTCATTTTTCAACTCCAACCTGCTGGACTCATCTCTTGGAACTCCCAGAAACAGGAACTCATCGCCCTTTCGTCAGCAGAAGCAGAATTCATCGCAGCTAGCGCAGCTGTTCGCGAAGGACTGTACCTGATGGAGCTCCTGCAAGAGGCGAAGGTGACGATGAACGGGCACTTCACGTTACTCTGCGACAATCAGAGCGCGATAAAGATCGCGAACAAGCCCGGCTTCGTCAACCGCACCAAACACATCGGCCTTCGTTACTTCTTCGTGAAGGACGAAATCGACAAAGGGAGAGTCAAGCTGACGTACTGCCCGACCGGTGACATGGCAGCCGATTTCCTGACGAAGAAACTGCCACGTCAGCAGTACCAGCACTGCGCCGACCTCTGCGGGATTACCAAGAAATCCTACATGGCCCACCTTCAGGAATGAAGGGGAGTGTTGGAATAACCGAAAGGTTATATAAGCATTCCTGAAGTTATTTCACTGTACCGATACCGCAATAGCTCATATAGAGCACGCGGAATGTCTAGGGTCACCCGAAGGTCAACCGTCTGAGAAAGTCAACGGTCGTGACCCTTGACGATCCAGTAACCGCGCGACAGTTAACAGTCTGCAACACGGTAACTGTCGAGGATAGCAATAGTCGCGGTTACTGTAGTTATACAGTTGAATAAGGGAATGTACCCCTCAGAGTACATGGCTAGCTAGATTTCTATTTAATCTCTTGTACTCTTATCTTTGATCATCTTGTTCTCTTTCAATTACCATTCAACAAAGTCATTACAGAGACTTCATTGTCTCCTCTCAGACTTAACAGAATCTATCCTGTCCACTGGATCCTTGGTTGTATCAGCAATAGTCACAAAAGTAATGTTTGAAACGGGTGCACGCCGATTACAGCCGTAGGAGGTACACACTACAGCGTATTACCGTGTGACGTTGATGCATGTCTTTTAGTGCCGTTGGATGTTTCCTACCCTCGTTCCGCCTCAACAGCTTCAGTCACCCGCTGTCTACACATGATGCCCGTTTGAGCCCCCCGACCTTGCCTTACCCTCTGGGCTTATAAGCGATTCTTGCATTTCGTGGAGGTTTCGTCAATTCGCTTCGGGCAAAAAGGGCTTATAAAAAACAATTGTAACTCACCGTTGACTGTCTGACTGCAGTCTCTTCAGTCAGACTTCAGTTTCTGTGGTTCGGGTTGGTCAACGTGCTTGTAACGTGGGTGCTTCCTCACGGCACAAAACCCACGGGTGCAAGGTTTCCGTCAGGTACGGGGCAATTTCGTGGGCAGTGGGTGGGCATCAGGTGTACAGTTGTTGCTGCAGCAAACGTCCGCCATTTACGGAACAGAACAATCCATCCCTTCGCACTCGGGCAGACCAAAACACCGCGGTCCACCACCAATCCATCCCAAGAACCCCCGCAAGAATCAGAGATGTGTTCGGTTCGGTTCGGTTCTTCCACGCTGTCTGGACTCCAAAAAGGCAGCACCAATGTGGCGCCAAGCAGGGGTGGCGGCGTGGTTTCCTTCGGGTCTTTCTTTCGCGCGGCTGGCAACGTGGCCCTCTTTGTCGTGCTGGCGGGGTTCACCTGTTTCCCTCGCTGCCGAAGGCATCGCAAAACCCTTTCGTCAGCATGAACTCGCAGTTTCGTCGCACGTCGCGAAATTGTGGCGCGCTGCAAATGCAAGCTGTGCGTGCGGCGAGAGCCTTCCCAACGTTTGCGGAGGAGGGGTCGGGGAGCAAAATGGGTAAATGATTTGCTTGCTACGCGTACCTCAATCAGGCATGCGCTGGGGGCTGAAGGCAAGTTAGCAGATTCACGACATTTAGCAGATCATCTCATTCCTTGGTCTTGCATACACGAAGCACCAGCCGTAGTGCTAGACAACCGCACAACCGCGAGTCACCATACATTCTGCCCTAGACGAGCGTTTTTCGAACAGATGGATACTAAGGCCCCAACTGCCAGTCGCAATCCGAGCAAGGACCGCTTCAAGTTGGCCCGTTTCCCTACGATTCGACCCGCTGCGCCCACTCTTCTCTCCACCTCTCTAAACGGCGCGGCTCCCGCACTTCACGCGAATATTCACGGCGTCCTCCTCTCCCGCCTCGACGCGCCCGCGTCATCCCCCTCTCTCACCCGTCCTTCCGTCGATTGCTCACTGGAATGGACATCGCCCGCGCAGGCTCCTGACCGTTCCTCCGCTGCGCCACTCCGCTTCCCTCAGGAAATATTCCCCCCACATTCCGCAAGCGCGCTCTCCGACCACTCCGCGCGCGCGGCAGCGGGCGAGCCACGTCTCTCCAACTTCTTACCACCTCCTCCCCCCGAGTCGGCCCCGCTCGACACCCGTGGCGCGCCCACCAGAGCGTCGCCTCGAAGTCGCGCCATCGCTGGTCGTAGCGCGTCGCTTCCGGAATCCGCGTCGCGTGACGCGATCGCGCGAGCGTCTCTGCCGAAGCGATGGCTGTCGAGTCCCTCTCTTCCCCTGCTCGAATCTTCCAGTTTTGACGCTAATTCCCGGTCGGACGGGCGACAGCAGTGCGCGCAGCCGATGCGGGACTATTCATTCGTGCCTTCGTGCGCCGATGCTGTAGCACGCGTTGGTGCTGCGCACTTGCTCCGCCAGACCCTGCCGCCCGCAGCGACGCTCCACGCGCCGGGAATCCGGCCGGAGGGGGAAGGGGTGTTGCGGCGGCAGCGGTCGCTTCCGCGAAGTATCACTTGTTGCTAAGGACGGAAGTGCGGGGACAAGCGAGATTGCGGAGACAAGCGTGAAGGATTTTGAGCTTCGGGTTAGGGTAGGCCCAGCCTTCCGCCTATCAGCATGAGGCATGGCAGGTCGGCCGGGGCGAGCAGTACAATTGGCTAGGAAGGAAGGAATACTCAACCGAGGTTGAACCGATTTGAGGCATGCCGAGGGGACTACGCCTGCTTCAAGATCTTCAATATGCAGAGAGTTGATTGGAATGGGTGTTGTTGACAGCAACTCTGAATACGTGCAATTCAGCTACTGCCCCACCAATGGAATAGTGCCAACCAGCTGCCGTTAGCTATACCCCCCTAATGTCTGCACTAGATGCCGATGCTGCCCCTACTCCCAAGCTCATCAACTCTCAATACATTATAAGAGTTGTTCTGTGTTTATTTGAAAAATGTGACCTGATAAAGATGGCCTTTCTTTCTGTGTTACAGTTCCCTCAAAAGAGCCTCTTCTCATAGGCCACAAGGCCATGCACCCCACCCTCCGCCTGCGCCGCCCCCGTGCGCACCTGCATTGCATAGATGATGGCCAGGCAGCGAATGAATGGGAGGAAAAAGAGTCAAGGAAGGGGAATGAGTGCAGGGGAAACACCGCAAATCAACACGCCCTTATTCCCATCACTCCCACCTCGCTGTTCCTTCACTCACTTCCGGTTGATCCACTCACACCACCGAACCCGTATCCTACCACCACGCTACCCAACCCACTCTCTCCCCCACCCTTATCTCTCACCTCCAGCCCAAATTACCCTGTCAGCAGCGCCGCATGCAGCCCCCCCACCCATTGGAATGCAGCTCCTGAGCTCGGCCCCCCTTGCTTCCCTTCCCAACCCTTCTACCCAACCGTCTAGCCACTCTTCCACCCACCCCCCCAATTCCTGCCCACGCCTCTCACCTCCAGTCTGATCTCCCCCGCCCGCAGAGCCTCATGCAGCTCGCCCACGGACTGGACGCCCAGGTCCTGCAGGCCCTGGCGGGCAGCGTGCGCGGTGAAGGGCAGGAGGCGCAGCAGCGACCCCTTGGCCCTCACCTCGCCCTCCACGCCCTGCGCCACCTTCAGCTGCGCCCCCTCCCCCAGGTACCGGCTGTCACTGCCCTTCTTTTGCGCTGCTAGCGACCCCATCCCCCTGTACTTCTTCACCCGTACACCATCCTGGGATTGGGGAGGAAGGGAGGGGAAGGGGGAGGGCAGGACACCTTCAGCTGCGCCCCCTCCCCCAGGTACCGGCTGTCACTGCCCTTCTTTGGGCTGCTAGTGAGCCCATCCCCCTGTACTTCTTCACCCGTACACCGTCCTGCTTGGAGTGGGGAGGAAACGCAGAGGGGAAGAGCCGGGGGAAGTGGAGGAGTGGGAGAGGAAGAGGGGGAGCGGAGGTAGGGGGAGAACAGGGAGATGGGGGAGAGGGACAGGGCAGAGATGAGCACAGATTAATGGTTGTGACACCTTCAGCTGCGCCGCTTCCCCCAGATACCGGCTGTCACTGCCCTTCTTTTGGGCTGCTAGCGACCCCATCCCCCTGTACTTCTTCACGCGCAGCCGTCCTGTGATTGGGGGGGAGGGGGATGGGGGCGGGTAGGGGAGAGCGGGGTGTGGGGGATGGGGGATGGTTGTGACACCTTCAGCTGCGCCGCTTCCCCCAGATACCGGCTGTCACTGCCCTTCTTTTGGGCTGCTAGCGACCCCATCCCCCTGTACTTCTTCACGCGCAGCCGTCCTGTGATTGGGGGGGAGGGGGATGGGGGCGGGTAGGGGAGAGCGGGGTGTGGGGGATGGGGAGGGGGCGATTATCATCTCAATCCTTTCAGGAGTGGGAAAGAGATGAGGGCGGGGGGTACTAATAAAAGGGGATCGGGGTGACGAGAGTACAAGCTGAGTGGAGTTGAGATCAGATGGAGCAGCACGCTGACATGGCAGTCCACTCAAAAGTCAACCTAGTCAAGAACGCAAGGCAGTCAGTCCACGCCAGTCAAAGGCGGTCAACACCAGTCAGCGCCAGTCAACGCCAGCCACGCACCCGAATGTACGTTTGCCCGGGCGCCTCATCGGTGCCTGCGAGGAAGCTTCCAACCATGACAGAGGAGGCGCCGAGGGCGAGGGCCTTGATGAAATGCCCCGTGTTACTCACCCCGCCATCCGCTATCACTGGCACCTCCCCCATTGCGTGTGCCAGGCTTGCTACCTTGAACACCGCTGCTGCCTGTAGGAGTGGGGCGCGATGGGTGGGGGGAGAGGTGCGAGGGGAGGAGAGGGGCGCGCAAGAGGGGCAAGAGACGTGCATTCATAGACACGGCCCGGGATAGGGCAGCGCAGCCGCAGGAACCACTTCCTCGAGGCTCACCGCCTCACCTGCCCCCAAAACACTTTTGATTCGAGCCGACCCACAAAACATGCCTCTCAGCTGCCCCCTGTCACCCCGCCTCGCCTGCCCCCCGCCCATGGCGAGGACTTCCTGTGTGGTGCAGATAGATCCCATGCCCCTGTGGTGCACACTTCACCATTTCCCCTAGACTCACCCGTCCCTGTGCTCACCTGCCCCCTGCCCACGGCGCAGACTTCCTGGGTGGTGCAGATAGAACCAGACCCCATGCCCACCCGAATGCCGTCCGCACCCCCCTCTATCAGCCGCCGCGCCTGCATGGTGGGCGCAAGGGGGGGGGGAGGGGAAGCAAAGGGAGGAGGGGGAGGTTGGCAGGAGGCAGTCAGTCAGAAAGGGGCAATCGAGAATGGAGAACGTACGGCAGCTACTGAGGCATCCACCTGTGCGTGCCGCTCACCTGTCATGCCACGCCATGCCCCTCCCTCACCTGCCGTGTGGTAACCACATTCCCTGCAATAATCTGCAGGTCGGGGAACTGGCGCTTGCAGTGTGCGAGCATGGCGAGCTGGTACGAGGAGTCGCCCTGAGACGAGTCCAGCACCACGGCATCAACGCCCGCCTCCACCAGAGCCGCCACTCTCTCCCTGTCGCTATCTCTCGTGCCCACAGCCGCGCCCACCAGCGCCCTGCCGTCCGCCGCCAGGGAGGGCGGCCCGCGGGGGGGCAGGGCGACCTGCTGCTTCACCAGCGCACGCGTGAGGAGACCCTTGAGCGCGCCGTCCCCCGCCACTAGCGGGATGCTGCTGCGCTTCGACTCCTGCTCGTGTGCGGGGGGGGAGAGCAAGGGGGAATGGGGCAGGGAGAGGTGGCACGCGCGTGAGCAGCCCTTTCAGAGTGCCGCCCTCCGCCACTAGCGGGATGCTGCTGCGCCTCGACTCCTGTGCGTGAGAGAGGACGGGAAGGGCAGCGCGGATGAGCGCAGCGCTGGGTGGGTTGGGGCGGGGCGGGGTGGGTTGGGGTGAGAGTGACGTGTTGCCACGTGCGCAGGCAATGCAGGTGGGCGGGAACGCGGAGAGGGGGAGGAGAGGGAGGTTGGAGAGACGAGGAGCGGAGGGCTGAGAGGCAACCTTGCCACACACACGGCAGGCAGCCACACACACGGCAGGCAGCCACACACACGGCAGGCAGCCACACACACGGCAGGCAGCCACACACACGGCAGGCAGCCACACACACGGCAGGCAGCCACACACACGGCAGGCAGCCACACACACGGCAGGCAGCCACACACACGGCAGGCAGCCACACACACGGCAGGCAGCCACACACACGGCAGGCAGCCACACACACGGCAGGCAGCCACACACACGGCAGGCAGCCACACACACGGCAGGCAGCCACACACACGGCAGGCAGCCACACACACGGCAGGCAGCAAGAAGCAACGAGCAGGCTACGCACTGACGGCAGCGCACCTGGAGAAGCTTCTTGGCGTCTTCCTGCGAGCAGGAGGGCGGGGCGGTGACGAGGTCTTTAAGAGGCGTCATGACGTCCGATAGCAGTGCCGTGCTGGGGGGATGGGCGACAGAGGGGAAAGGGGAGGGAGGGAGGAGAGCAGGAAGAGCAAGTGAGTGAGGGGTGTAAGGGTGCAGGGGAACGAGGCTTGGTGCGTCAGGCTTTCAAGAAATGCGGCCGCCTGTCTGCGTACTTGCCTCCGCTTCCAATCTTATACAGCTCTCCCCCCTCCCCACAACCCCTCTTTCCCTTTCCACCTACCAATCCCCCATTTTCAACTCTCTCCCATCCCAATTCCAGCCCACTCCCCCTCTCGTCACCCCACCTGGAGTCAACGAAGTCAACGTCGTTCCTTGTGACCACGCCCACCAGCCTGCCGCCCGCACTGCCGTCGTCCGTCACGCACACCGCGCCCTGCCCGCTCGCCTCCACCACCTCCTCCCACGCCTGCCGCGCGGAAGGGGGAGGGAACGTGGGCGGAGGGAAAGGCGTGGGGGGGCGAGGGGAGAAAAAAGGTGGGGAGGGGAAAAATGGGGCGGGGAATACGGAAGGGAGAGAGGGGGGACAATGGATTAAGTGACTGACGGAACATTCCACGTCATCAATCGCATGCCACGTCACTCTCGCACATGCCATGACGCCACCCACACTCCCGCACCCCAGCTTCCCCCCGCCACCCCTCACCTGCACAGTGCTTGCGGGCGGCAGAGTGGGCGGCACGTTGACCACTCCCACGCGCCACTGCTTCGCCTGCCGAATCAAATCCGCTTGCTCCTGCACGCTGTTGTTGTAATGGATAAACCCCATCCCCCCCACCGCCGCCATCGCCGCCGCCATTTCCGCCTCCGTCACCGTGTCCATCGGGGAGCTGACAAGTGGCATGCGCAGGGAGATGCCACGTGTCACGCGCCCCGTCAGGTCCACGTCAGACGCGGCGAAGCTGATGTGGCGCGGGTGGAAGATGCAATCGTCGTACGTGTACGCCACGCCCTGAAACGACACGTGGCAAAGCACGATTGAAGAGGGTGGTCGGGAAGAGAAAAGAGACGCGCTTCGCAGCGGAACGAATCGGAAGACCAGAGAGCAGAGGCGCGCTTCGTAGCGGAAGAAGTGCCACGTGGCGGTACCTGATTGAATATTTGCTGCGCCGTGAAGCCATCGATATCAAGCTGCTCCAACAGTTCCGCCGCTGCTCCGCTGCTCCCCATCGCGCCCGCCGCCGCCGCTCACGCTGCTGCCAATGCCACCAGTATCAACGGAAACGAAGCCGATGCTTCGCCGAAAGGACGCGAATCAACTAGTCAGCGCGACAATGCCTGGCTCTGTGCGGTGGATCGCGGCTTGCGAAAACGCGATAGAGCAGAAGGGGCGGGGGAAGGGGGGCCGAAGTGACGGGAAGAGGGGTGAGAGGTTTTTGAAGGGTGCAGGGTCGGGATTTGGGAACAAAAGGTACTGGTGCTGGTCGATTTGTTCGCAGTACAGAATCACGCGGTAAAGCACTTTTCACGTGAAATTCTTTTGGCACTATGTCATACATCAACACAAATGTAAAACAGTACTTTTAGCATTTTCATAAATTAGATTCTGAACAATGTTTCGCTGAGTCAGGTACACGTCATCCGCAACACAATATCGTCGCTTCCCCGCCACACATTTCACTACTACCCTTCCTTACCTCACACATTCCTTTCCTCATCACTCTCCATCCCTCACACACCCGACCCGTGATGTCAGCTAGCTTTCTGACGCGATAGCACCGCAGCGCACTTGTAAGTCAGCTGAGCGCCGAGCTCTCCACTCCGCTCGCCCGGCTTTCGCCTTCCCACTTTCGTCGCACTCCACCCACCTTCACACGACGTAACTACGATATCATTTCCGCCTCTTCCGCCGCTCTCCACCACTCTCCGCCGAGAGCGTGCGCGCCATGGGCATCGCGACGTTGGACCTGCGCCCGGGGGTGGGCCTGGGGCCCTTCTCGCTCGGTGCGCCTCCCCCAAGCCCGCTCCTCCTTTCCTTCTTTCCCTGCCCGCGCGCTGCACTCCCCGCTACGGGATTTGCGCGGTTTGTTTTCGCTTTTTGTCGTCACCTGCTGCCACCTTCCCGTTGCGCCTCCCCCCGTGTGACTCCCCTACCCATGCTGCCCCCTGCTACCTGCCTGCGCGTGAATGTGTGTGCGTGCGTGTGTCTGCGCGTGTGCCGGGCGCGCTACTCGCAGGCATGGCGGTGTGCAAGGCGCTGGCGGAGGTGGAGGCGCAGCTGGGCGTGTTCGACAGCATCGTCGTCAATTACTGCCACCAGGTAAGTGGGTGCTGTGCGGTGCTGTGCGGTGCTGTGCTGTGCTGTGCAGTGCTTCCACCAGGTGGAGGTGGAAGCGCAGCTGGGCGTGTTTGACAGCATCGTCGTTCACTACTGCCACCAGGTGGGTGGGGTGTGACTCATCGCCCTTCGTTCCCCCATAACTGTACATATTAGTGAGAGTGGCCGCTTTTCAACCCTCACCTCCCCCCCTTTCCCACCTCCCCCCTCCCTTCCCCCCTCCCCCAGGAGCCGCTATCGCGGGACATAGTCATCGCCTTCCCCCACCTCGGCTTCCTCTAACTGTACATGTTAGTGGGAATAGACCATTTTTCACCCCCCGTCCCCCCCCTCCCCATCCCCCATCTCTCCCCCCTCACCCTCCTCCCCCCCCTACCCCCAGGAGCCTCTCTCGCGCGACATAATCATCGCGTTCCCCCACCTGGGCTTCCGCCTCTGCTTCGACCCCCACGTGCAGGTGAGGCCTTATACCCGCATGACCTCTTGCCGTTCTCAGTCCCCCATGACCTTTTGCTCTCACACCTGCCATCTTACCCTCTCACATGCTTCTGTCGCCCATTCATTCTTCCCCCGCGGCACTGCCCCCCTCCCTCCCCATTCCCCTCAACAGCGACTGCACCGCATAGACGTGACGGACATTTCTCGCCTGCACCTGCGATTCGGAGCCTCGCTGCTCGGGTATGCCTGCCTGCTCTCTCTGCTCTCTCTGCCATGCCCCCACCCACCCTCGTTGGGGAATGCCGTTTCCCTGCCAAGCCGAGGCCAAAGGCTCTGTATGCTGTGCCGTGCACGCTCTTTCTCTCCACCTGCACACGAAACCCCTTCTTAATCCAACCCCCCATGTTATCTTCTTTGCCTTTCCCCTTGCACCCTCCCTTCCCCTTTCCCCCTTCCCCCTTCCCCTTTCCCCCCTGCTCTACCGGTGATTTTATCTCTTCCCCCCCACCTTGGGTGCTCCCAGAGGCCCCATGCAGGCGCCCACGTTCGCCCACGGGTATTCAGTGCTCGGTTCCCACCTTCCATCCACCCCACTTACATCTTTCTTTTCCTCACCTTGCACCATTCCTCCCTTGTGCTCCTTGCTGTGTCACTCAGAGGCCCCATGCAGGCGCCCACGTTCGCCCACGTGTATTCGGTGCTCGGTCCCACCTTCCCCGGCGCCTACAACGCTCAATGCGCCTGCTACACCCTCTCCTACCCGGTACTGCTTCCTTTCCCCTGTGCCCCCTGCCTTGCGCCCCCTGCCCCCTGTGCCTTGCCCCCTGCTCCCGCTGCCCCCTGCCCCCTGCCCTGTGCCCGTGCTTGCACCCACTGTCTTCTCCTTCCACCCTTGCGGTTCCTCCCTTCCGCCCTGCCCTCCTCCCCGCTCGCCCCCCTTTCCCGTGCGGGCAGGGCATGGCGCTGCTCTTCCCCATCCCCGCGCCCCACCAACACTTGTTCCAACACCCCGCACACGGTCAGTACCTTCCCTTGCTGCCCTGCCCGTACCCATGAGACGCCAGGCTCGCCTCTCCCCCATCCTACCTTTGCCGCTGCCTCGCCTCTCTCCCCTCTCATACCCTCCCTACCCGCCGCACCCTCCTGCAACGCCCGCGCTGCGCGCCTCTGCCAGCACGTGCACTCCAATCCCCACATCACTCGCTCTCAGGTGCCCCTCCCCTTCCCTCTTGCCCGCTTTCCCCTATCCCTTATGCCCTGCCCCCCACCCCCTCCCTCCCCACCATCGCCCATCTCCCTCCTGCCCCCAGACCTCCCCATGCACCTGCCGGACGGCTCAGCGCCCCGCCTCTCACGAGTACTGCTGCACCTGCCGGGGGAACCCCCTCTGCCCGTGCAGGGGGCGGGCGGAACAGGGGGGATTGGGGGAGCAGCGGGCGCAGGGGACGCAGGCGGCACAGGGGGCACAGGGGTCGTGGAGGGCGGGGAGGGGGACGGGTTGCGGCGGGCAGCAGAGCGGTTTGCGTCGCTGCCGCTGGTGATGGCGAATGGGGCTGTGTACATGGAGACTCTGCTGGTACAGGTGAGGGTGGATTGGGATGCGTGCGGGGCTGCGGGCAGGCAAGTGGGAGATGAGCTTGTAAGTGAGGTGCGGGTAGTGTGTGCATGGAGCCACTTGTGATAATCTACAAGGCAAATATGTTTCACAGCACATCCCCTTTCCCTCCCCCATGCTCCTGCCTCTCATATCGCCCCTTCCCTCCCCACCCTGCCCCCTCCCCTGCCCCTCTCCCCCCTTCCTTGCTCGCCCCGCCTCCCCCTCTCCCCCCTGCGCACCAGCTGGGGGAGTCAGTGCTCTTCTCCCAGGGCGGGCAGCGCATAACCTTTGGGGACTCATGGAGGCAGCTCACCCCTCCTCCCTCTCCCCTTTCCTGTCCCTCTCTCCCCTCCTTGCGCTCTCTCCCCCCTCCTTCCCCAACAGCTGGGGGAGGCAGTGCTCTTCTCGCAGGGCGGGCAGCGCATTGCCTTTGGGGACTCTGCGCAGGTCAGCCGCTCCCACAAACCCCCGCCCACCTGCCCACTCTCCTGCTCGGCCCTGCCCACCTGCCGCTTCATGCCTTCCCCCTCCACTCCTGTTCCCCTCACCCCCTTGCCCTCGCTCCTTTCTCTCTCTCCCGGCTCCTCACCCACCTCGCGTGCACCCTGTGTCCAGTGCAACTCACTCCTTTCCCACTCCCTCCTCACTCCACCATCTGCAGTGCCACCACCACTCTCCCTCCTCTCCCTTTCCTCATGCTACCATGTCTAACACTCTCCTCTATCGTCCTCCCCTATCCCCAACCCTCACCCTCCATCCCTCCCCTTTCTCCCCCCCACCAGCACGTGTGGTCGGAGCTGGGGCGGCCATGCTTCATGGGCGCCAAGCAGGTGCTAACCGGGGTTGCTTGGCCTCAAGGCTAGGGCGACGTGGGGCAGGGGTAGCGTGGGGCAGGCAGGGGTGGCATGGGGCAGGGGTGCATGTGTTTCCTGGCGATGCATGGCCGGTAGCAGTAACGCTTGGATTCTCCGTCCGTGCTTGTTGTTCCTTGTATCTGTCTTGCCTACTCCGCCCCTTCCTCCTTTCCGCGCCACCCCTTACTGACTTCCCCCGTTCCCTGCTCTCTGCCATCTCTCTTGCTCTTTCTTCCGCCCTCCTCCCCACCTCCTCTCCCCTTTCGCCCGCCAATGCGCCTTCTCCTATACAGGACTCCGCTAAGGCTATCCACTCTGCCCTCACTCCTCCCCTCTCCTCCTCCCCCTCCTCACCCCTCGCCCCGTCCTCCTCACCTACACTTTCCCCCTCCTCTCCCCCGGACTACATCTGGAGCTACTACACCCGCGGCCTGGATATTATCTTCAGTGGTCAGGTGAATACAACAGAGAGTCAGCATTCAGGTGAAATCAACAGAAAGCTAGCGTTCAGGTGAAAATAGCAGGTAAATTGCAGCTAGTGGATCAACGCATTTGCACGTCTGGCTACCCTTTACCCATGCCATGCCCTTACCCATGCTATGCCCTTACCCATGCCATGCCCTTACCCATGCCATGCCCTTCACCTTCACACATGTCCTCCTTCATGCCATCTCCACCTTTCCCCTAACTACAGAGCTACGCAACATGCTGAACTCACAGTCCCCCTTTCCCGCTCTCACACTGAGATTTCCATCCCCACCCGCCACCTGGGGCCCCCTCATCCCTTGCGTGCAGAGCTACGAAGTGCGCAAGCTAGTGCTGCACACGAATCTGCCGGGCCAACCGGACTTCAACGACTATGTCAAGTGCAACTTCCGCATCCCTGCGCCCCACGCATGTGCGTCCCCCACACCAACCCCACCCACCCCCCCTCCCCCACCACCACCACTCTCCCTCTGTGAACAAAGCCCTGGCCAGCCCGACTCGAGCGACCACGTCAAGTGCAACGTACAAATCCCTGCTCCCCAAGCACAGACTCGTGTGTTCCCCCACGCCCGTTCTTCCTTCCCTCTAGACTACTACGTTCCTCCCTCATTCCTTCCCCTCTCTGTGATATGCGTCTCCCATTTCGTGCTAAAGCGCTGTTTCATTTGTGTGCTGAGTCTCCACACACCATGCTTTCCCACTAAGAGATTTCTGTCTGTGCCCGTCACTCTCAACCCCTCTGCCACGCAATCTGCATCTCTTCCTCCTACGTTTCCTGCCCTTCATCACACTCTATTCATGATTATCCCAGCCTCAGATGCTCCGGCAGGGTCAGACCCATCGCTCTGTTTAACCCCTGACTCCAAGTGGGACCATGTTCAGGTGAGCTCACACGCAATCTCTATCAGATGAATCAACCTGCCAGATTTTCTTTCTGGGTTCGTTGCCGTGTGAGACTTGTTTATTCAGGCGAGTTGCGATCAGTTTACTACAAATTTCACCACTGCTACACATGACACCACCTGGGTTGGGTGTATGCATACCAGAGAGCCAGACACTTCCACACGTGGCCTTTTTCTTTCTACGGTTCCGCAGAGGCTGTTTGGGGGTGGTGGGCGGGCGGCCATACAGACTGCAGGGGCCTTGCACAGGGCCTTTGGACCCACCTTTGTGTATGGCTTTTGCCACGTGGCATTCGAGGTGAGGCACATGCACTCAAACATGCGTATCACATCCTGGATACACTTTCTTGTGAACTTGATCACTTGTGTTACGAGGCCTGCTTCAATGTCTACATTTGTTTCTTTTGAGTTGGGTCCCTGTTGGTTCGTGCAGGTGTTGAAGAACGGTCATATTTGTACAGTCACGCTATTCAAGGCACGATGACTACCCCACTCCATGTACAGGTAGTTGGTGTCAGCTGTGCCTATCCTCGCCCCTTCGCTGTTAGCAGTGAGATCCTTGTTTGTGTAAATATGTACATAGTATGAATCGATTATGCACGCGTACGTGAACAAGAAACTTTTCTGACAAGGAAAATGTGTACATTAGTGTAAAATGCCATTCTTGCCTTCTAATGGTTGGATAGTGATGAAATCGCAGCCTGGTGGTTTTTATCAAACAGACTGATTCTGTACTCGCAGTAGTTGAGTTGCTGCAATTCAACGTGCCTATAGCGATGGGTGCTAGCTTTCAGGATGATTTTACAGCTTACAGAGCCGAAAGCATCTGAATTTGCAGCTGCGATGGCAATGGAGCTACTGCACTGTAGTGCAGATGGTGTACAGCGCATCTTTCCTCTCTCGCGCCTCGACGAACTACAGTATTGTCACACCTCCACCTCGAGCGGCGGCGCACTAAAGCCTAAAGCCTACGTGGCAAGCCCTCTCTACTGTGGCTTTCAGGTATGGTCATAAGGACCAATCACGTTGCAATCAGTCGCGCGTGGTCGCGTGCAATAACCTCGACGTTACGACCTGCTGGCCGTTGGATCAACTTTGGGGTTACTTCTGTTGGTCCTACCTGTCGGCGGCACCACCAAACCTCATGTCGAGGCTAGGCGATTCCTTCCGGGCCAAACCAGCCCTTGCCCGTCGGGCTCACCCTTCCAACCGCCGCCGCACCACCACCACCACCAACCACACTCCTCACCACATTTTGCATTTTTTCACCTGACGTTTCCTTGCATTCTTGGCAAAAACTAGCAACTAAATCAGCCCCGCATCACGTGCTACTTCCTTTGCATTGCACCTGTGATATTTTTTAAGGAGACGACCCAGCTACCCTGCTCCCATCGTAGCGAGTCGCCTTCTAATAAGACCCCTTTCGAGCTAGAGAATAGAATATTCGTACTTTTGAGCCAGGCGCACTTGTCCCTTGGGCCTAAACCAAGGCCGACAATGGCCATGACCTTTCATCCGTTACGCGTCCTCGGTCCGCGACATGCGCTCCTCTCGGTTCTTCTCCTCGTTGCCGTCGTTCAATGGGAGTGCCCGATCGCCACAGCCTGTAAGATTACTTTCTATTTACGAGATTCCACCGCGCTTCGCCGTTCTATACGCCGATTTTCTCCCCCATCTGAGTGGCATTCACCAATTCCTTATCTACATTCGCCAATTTCTCCTTGCTTAACCAATGCGATCGTTATTCGTTCCCGGCCCTGCCCTTATGCTCCCCGCATTCTCCGCCATCTCTTCCTCCACGCAGCGTACTCCACGGGGTGCGACCCGGCGATGGCGCCGCTGAAGCCGGCAGGGAAGAACAGCATCTTCCGCTTCGCGAGCGTCAAATACAACACGACCACGCGCAAGTGGGGCCTCGCCACCAGCGCTAACTGGACCGACTACCGCACGTCCACCCTCAGCCGCGTCCGCAACCAGGGCTCCTGCGGTACGGCCACTCTCGAGGCTCCTTTCTTCAGGCGAATTTTGTTTACGCACCTTATGAGGCGCTTCAAAAACCCATTACCGCACGAGCATTGCGAATGTTCTTCTTCCTCTCTCGGCAATGTCGAGACCGCCGCGTGGCTTCGTCGCGACTCGCCAGCGTCACTCCGATTGGATCCCGCATCGTCCACTCCACCCCACTCCTGTTTCCCCCCGTCGAACCCCCCTCCGTCGAACCGCCCTCCTGTCTCCCCCCGCCTCACCTCACCTTCCTCCGCATTCTCCCTTTTCCGTTCCTCTTCCCACTTCCCCCTCTCCCCCAACCCCCCTCCGCATTTCCCCCGACCAGGCAGCAGCTGGGCGATGGCGGCGGTGACGGCGGTCGAGCTCGCATACGCCGTGGCGCGCAACGCGTCGAACGACATGCAGGCGCCGCGGTACCTGTCGACGCAGCAGGTGCTGAGCTGCGGCGACAGCAAGAAGGGCAACTGCACGGGCGGCTGGCCCACCACTGCGCTGGACTATGTCGTCAAGACGACGGGGAAATACGGGGGTATGGTGACGGAGGGTAATTACCCCTACACGGGTAACACGACGTGCACGTACGGCACCAAGGATGACGACGACCATAGCGGCGGCGATAAGAAGAAGCCGTCTTCCTGCGACACGTCCAAGGTGCGTTGTGTGGCGGTTGGTGCGCGGTTTCGAGTTGCGGGCTTATAACGAGGACAATGCCTGGTTCATGTGCATGTGATGCAACGAAACCATGTATCACTTATGATTCCATGGCATGGCGGGGTAGGACAGGAGGGAGCAGGGTAGGGCAGGAGTGGCACTGGTGGCATGTCCTACATAGTGCAGTGCTCGTCTGTGTGGCGTGTGTGCGTGTGTGCGTGCGTGCATTCGTGCTGCGCAGGTGAAGAAGCAGGCGACATCGATCGGCATCCGGTCGTACGAGAGCATCGACTACTATGGCTGGCTCGGACTCATCCTCGCCACGCAGGTGCGTTCCAATCCAAGCAGCGAGTGAGGGGGGAGGGTTGCCGTGCAGGTGTGTGCAATGTAGGTGTGGAAGGATGGGAATTGTGGAAGGGTGGGGGTTTAAGGATGTGAAACATTGGAGAGAGAATAACTAGGACTCGAGGAGAAGGAACCTCAACGCCTCACCCCATTAAGACAGATTCGCTGACTCAAAGCCCCTGGCACAGAAATAGCCCTCAAGAGACTCACGCCCCCTGATAATTCCCATTTTCACTGCGTCTCAAATACCAACTCTGCGTTTTCCTCCCTCCGCCTCCAATGCCCCCTCTGCCCCGCATGCCCTCTCTGCTCCCCCCACCGTCCTCCTCGTGCTGTCCCTTGTGCCCATCCCGCAGGTGCATCCAGCCATCGCTCTGATCAACACCAAGCCCGACTCCTTTCAAAACTACCAGTCGGTATGCCCGCCCTGCCCCACCTCCGCACCCATCATCATTCCATTACCATCACCACTGTAGAATCACCATCGCTAGCATCACCACAACCAGCAACATCATCATTAGCAGCAGCACCAGCACGAGCAGAACCACCAATAACCATCCGTGCCTATCTCTGCCGCCTCTTACGTTTGCCATCTCGTCGCCTACTTCTTTCCCAGTTTCTCCCAGCCGTGTACGCGCCTGGTAGTGAGCATCGTGTTGCGCAAGTTCACTCTCAACCCGCCCCTTGCTTCCCCTTTCCCACCCCCACCTCCTCCTTCCAGGGCGTGTACTCGGATTCGTCTTGTGCAGAGGGCCAGGTGGACCATGCGGTGGTGGTGATGGGGTATACCTTCGACTCGCCCGGTCCCCTCTGGATCATCAAAAACTCCTGGGGGAAAACGTGGGGCATGCAGGTGAGGGCAAGACGTGGGGCATTCAGGTGGGGGGAGAGGGGGAGGGTTGAGGGGAGGAGGGCAGAGAGGAGAGCAGCATTGGGGTCCCTGGTTGGCGCGGTGTGCGTCTCTCAGTTTGTGCGAGCCTTTCCTTCTGCCTTTCGGTGCCCTGTGGGCACGTGAATATGCATGTGTGCATGCCCCACTCCGCTATTGCCCATGTGCAGGGCCACATGTCGTGCAGGCCTTTAAGTAAATCAAGTAACATCCCCAATTCCCCCACCCACCATGTGCAGGGATACATGCATCTGGCCATGCAGGGCGGGCTGGGGGCATGCAACATCCACTCAGTGCCGGCACTCGTGCCAGTCATACGCAGTGAGTGCACAACCACACTCCACACGCATGCACATATGCATTTGTACATGCATCACGCCCTCCATCCCCTTCCCTCCCTATCATCCCTCACCCCTCTTCTCTTCTCTCCCCTCACCCCACCCTCACTCTCCCTCCTCTCCGTCCCACCCCACCCCTGCCAGACTCGAACCCGTGCAGTCTGCTGGTGAACCCCTGTGGCGGAGGCGAGTGCATTCCGCATGACAGCAGCAAGTACAAGTGCAACTGCCCGCCCCAATTCGTTAAAGTCAAGAACTCCGATGGCACTGAGTCCTGCACGCCAGGTGTGTTCCTTGTCCTCCCACGTGGGCTCCCACGTGGGCTCCCTGCACCCTGTGTGTCCCCTCTCCTCGCTTCGTGCAAGTCAATAACTCCGATCCGACGACACTGAGCCCTGCACGACAGGTGGGCTCCTACGTGCTCCCACGTAGGCCTCATGCATTGCGCCCTGTGTGCACCCCTCGCTTTGATCGGACAGCTCAGAGTCCTGCACGCCAGGTGGGCTCCCTCTCACTCCTCTATCCCTTTTCATCCCTCCACCCACCCACCACCCCACCCCCTCGCACTGGTGGTATGCACGCGAACCATGGCCCAAACCTCTCAACCTCTCCCTTCCTCCCAACCCCACCCCCTCTCCCCTCCCTTTCCCCCTCCCCTTCCGTTCCACTGCTCCAGTGGTGGTGTGCATGAGAACGGACACTAACCTATGCGGCTTCTGCCTAACTCAGAATCTTTACCTCTTCCTGCGCTCTCTTTCCCTTCCACCTCTTCTCCCTCCCCTCTCCAGTGGTGGTGTGCACGCGAGCAGACATCAACCCGTGCGGAGTGGGAACGTGTCTGAACGACGGCAAGGGCTCTCATACGTGCCTCTGCCCGTGGCTTTGCTCTCTCTTTCCCCCTTTCCCCCACTCACCACTGCAGTGGTAGTGTGCACAAGGGCGGACATCAACCCATGTGGAGTGGGCACGTGTCTGAACGACGGCAAGGGCTGGCACACGTGCCTCTGCCCGCGTGGATTCGCTCTTGGCACCACCGCTGTCGGCTCTCATACCTGCGTGCCCTGTAAGGCCCCCTCGCACACATAGCCCCCTGCGTGCCCTGTGAGTGCCTCACGCTCATAGCCCCCTGCGTGCCGTGCAACGGAAGGCTGTCAAGGCTATTCCTCACTGCAAGGCTGTCAGTGCTAGTGTACAGCCCATGCTACGCACTTTATAACCCTAGTGAGGAAGCTGTTTATTTCGAGGCTTGGCAGCACGTGGTGATGTTGTGTGGGCTCAAAACACCTGCTGATGATGCACACAGCTCACACGCCACTGCATGCAGAGATTGTAACGGTTATTTCAGCACAGTGCACACAGTACCACGCCCAGACCCCAGCAACAGCAACAGCAACACCTTCTGAAGAGCACACCAAAGTGTGTGGGTGCGTCCCACGGTAGGTACCTGCCGAGCCGACAAAACTGGTGTACGGGCTTTTGAGATTCCTTTCCCCCTTTCCCTCCCATCCACACACACATCCTTCCCCCAGCGGACAAGACCATAAAGAGCATCAAGATGCCGCTGACAGTGCCGGCGCAGCTGGTGTATGGGCTTTACGGCATTCCCAAGGACAAGTTCTATGACCAGAACCCCGACCTGGTAACTTTATCAATTATGTGGTAATCCTGTTACCCTGCATTCCGACCTGATAGCCCTGTTAGTCTGTATATGCTAACCCTGTTAAACTGTAACCATGCCCCTCTGTTGCTCCACTGCTTCTCTCCCTGCCTCCTCCCACTCCACCTCACTGCCTCTCATGTCAAACCCTTCTCTACCCATTCTCTCTCCTATCCCACGCCCCTTCCCACCCCTTTCCACATATCCACCCATCTCCACCCATCTCAACCTCGCAGGACTCCTCGGACAGCAAGATAAAGAAGGGCAAGAAGGTGAACGTGAAGGCCACGTCAGACACCATCAACTGCGACCTCGTCTACCCCTGGAACTGGGTACGCTCCCCCACTCTCCGTCCCACACCACCTCTTCACACACGTATTTTTCCTGCCTTCTTGAGGCGTCTCAGCAGCCGCTTTCACCCCTGACACTGGGATTTCTGAGGGCATTGTGCGAAGCCGAATGCCTGCACAGTAAGAATTCTGTGTGCTGCACAGTAAGAATTCTGTGTGCTGCACTCAGCTTTCTGTCTCTCTGTGCATGGCACCCCGTTGCTGCTGTGCTATCCTTGCCCCACTCTGCACCCCACCTTTTTTCCATTAAAGCCAGGGTCTCACGTACTACGAGTGCTTTGCAGTTGACAGTGCAAGTTTTTTTGTGATTGGCTAACGAGTTGTGAAGTTTGAAGAGGGGTGAAGCGAGGGGTACGAAACGAATCCAAATCGCTAGGTGTAGCCGAACCTCCTAGGTTTGGAGAATCGGTTCGGATCCAAACCTAAAATGCCCCAAACTCGTCGAAAGTCTCACGTACTCAAAACTTGTTGTGCAATTGCTTTTGAGACACTGACGGGAATAGGTTTCCAACCCAACCAAAGAGAAATTCGCCTGCACTAACGAGGTAACCTACCTTCGCCTGCCTACGAGTGCTTTGCAGTTGATGGCTGCTTTGCTTACTTGAGACCCTGGCTTTAATGAAACCTTTCCACCCCCTCTCTGTTGTTGCCTCCTCTCCCCTTTCTTCCCCTCCCCGTTCCCCACCCCTCCACACCCCCAAAAGGGCAATCGCTGTGGGCCGGTGGCGGCGCTGTTTGTCATCACCATTTCTCTCCTCGAGGCTCTCAACCTGGGTTCTGCTCAAATCTCACCCCCTTCCCCTCCCCTCCATCCACCCCAACAGGGCAACCGCTGTGGGCCGGTGGCAGCGCTGGTTGGCATCACCATCGCCCGCCTCAAGGAGCTCAACCTGGGCCTCACCTGCTTGCCCTGCCTGGACCCCCCAATCCCGCCATTCCTACCCTTCCCCCCCTCCCCCCCCCCCCCCCCCCCCCCCCCCCCCCACCCCAAACCCCAACAGGGCAATCGCTGTGGGCCGGTGGCAGCGCTGTTTGGCATCACCATCGCTCGCCTGGAGGAGCTCAACCCGGGCCTCACCTGCCCTACTGGGGCGTACCCCGGCCAGCAGGTGCGTTGCAGTTCAGTGCGTTGCAGTGCGATGCAGTGTGATGATGCAGCGCAGCACCATGTGGTGTCACTCCCCAACACATGTGCGAGCATCAGGGAAGACGAGCTCGCTCTCCTAGCCAACCGTCGCCCTCCCTCCCACCCACCAGCAGGCTGTGCAGGATGGCAGTAGGCCCTCCGTCCCTACCTGTGCCCACAACACAACCGCTTGCAGACCCGTACTCTCACCCCACCCGCCCTTCTCGCCTCTTCCTTCCCCTTTCCTTTTTCCCTTTACTCCCCAGATCTGTGTGCGGGAGGGCAGCGGGCTGGCCATCCCGCTGTGCGCGCAGTACCACGTGATAGCGCCCGCGGACACGTGCAGGAGCATCAAGTAGCAGTACTACTCTCACCCCCACCCACCCCCCTCCCCCCCCTTCCGTTTCCCCTCCTTCTCTCCTTCCCCTCCCCAGATCTGTGTGCGGGAGGGCAGCGGACTGGCCATCCCCCTGTGCGCGCAGTACCACGTGATAGCGCCCCCTGAAAAGTGTGTGAGCATCAAGCAGCAGTACGGGCTCTCACCCCCTCTTACCTTCCCCTTTCTCCCTCCGCCCATTCAGATCTGTGTGCGCGAGGGCACTGGGCTGGCCATCCCGCTGTGCGCGCAGTATCACGTGATCGCGCCCCCGGACACGTGCAGGAGCATCAGGCAGCAGTACGGGCTCTCCTGGACCACTTACTTCGCCCTCAACCCCGGGGTGTTCTGCGCCAACCTCTACCCCGCTGCCACCGTTGACGGGGTCAACGCCATTCCCAGTGGCGCGCAGGTGGGTTGTGAGGGGGCAGGCTGCATGTGGTAAGCACGGTGAGGGGGCTGGCTGCATGTGGTAAGCACGGTGAGGGGGCAGGCTGCATGTGGTAAGCACGGTGAGGGGGCAGGCTGCATGTGGTAAGCACGGTGAGGGGGCAGGCTGCATGTGGTAAGCACGGTGAGGGGGCAGGCTGCATGTGGTACGCACGGTGAGGGGGCTGGCTGCATGTGGTAAGCACGGTGAGGGGGCAGGCTGCATGTGGTGCGCACCGCACCTCAACCCCTCCCTCCCTCTCCTGGACCACCTACTTCTCCCTCAACCCCGGTGCCTTCTGTGCTAACCTCTACCCCGCTCACCTAGTGATAGGTGAGGTGTGATAGTTGCAAGCGGGTTGATTGCATGCTTGGAAGGGTTCTCAAGCACACTAGCCTATCTCCACCACACTTGGCAAACCTCCCCCCTTCCACATTCCCACACCCCCCAAACCCGTGTCCCTCAGATCTGTGTGAAGGCAGCATTCAACGCGACAATCAACTATCTCGCGCCCCGAGACACATCGGCCATGCCTTACAACGCAGCATACACCAGCCTGCTCACCACACAGCACCACTCCCTCCTCCACTCTTCTCACGCCTCTGGGCTGCTCTCAGCACACGCCTTGCCTCAACAAGAGAGCCAGCAGCTGCTGCAGCAGCAGCAAGTGCAGCCGTTGCAGACGAAGCGGCGGTGCCAGGCGTCGTACACGGTGGTGCGGGGGGACTTCTGTGCGCGCATCATAGCCCTCAAGTTCCAGTACAACACGCGCAGGATGGCCGATCTCAACAACGGCTACGTGTGCACCGACAATCGCCTATTTGTCGGTCTCGTGCTCTGCACCTTCCGGTAGCCGTGTGCGGGGTAGTAGCTACCTAGTCATCTTGGTAGCACCAGTCGGTGCGCACATCACAGCACTCAAGTTCCGCTAGCTGTGTGCTCATTTTCAAGTATAGTTGCTTAGTCAAGGGGGAATCCAAATGCATTGCGAGAATCATGCTATGCTATGCTGCCTTGTGTGCACGTGTGATGTCATGCGCTGGTGGGCCGGCTGGGACCTGGGTAGAGTACCATATCATATCTGACCGAAAGCTGTCTAGACTGGATACTAGCGCAAGATAGGCACGTAGATAGATAGTGCAGCAGGAGCATTCACTGCTAGTGATCATCTGCGGCTCTTCTAGGGCAGTTCTGGGAAACCTAATTACTGTAGAGGCAATAAATATTTACATGCTTGTAATGCAGGAAGGTGGTGACGCAACTTGGTACTGTTGTCACTATGAATTTAGAAGGGCTATTCTCTGTTTTACAGCGTGCAAATAGGGAGCCACGAGTGCAGACAACTCACCATTCACTGCAGCAGGACCCATGCCTGCACCAATGCTCCCCCCACCAACACTGCCAGCACCATTGCTCCCTGCACCGGAATCACCCTGCTTGGCAAGGAGAAACCCAGCAGAGGGTGCATGAACCAGCCCCACTCGGTACCCTGCAAGCCACGCCCTCACACACACCACCCACGCTCCAATCCTGCTGCTGCTGCTGCTGCTCGCATCCCCCTGCCCCTCGTCCGCTCCACCCACCTCTCCCCTCAGCAGAGGTGCAAGCGAGCCGAGGGAGAGAAGGGCAGAACGGCGGATGGCTAGAGGTGTGCCCTGCACCCACCCCGTGTAGGTCACAGGGGGTGGCGGGGCGCTGCTGCCAGTGCTGCTGTTGCCTGTGCGGTTGGCAGCGGTGCTGTGCGGCTCCCGACCCAAGTCGCCCCACTCCCTCATCTGCTGTTCCACTCCTCCCCACCCACCTCCCACTCCCGACCCCTTCGCATCCCTCCCAACCTCTCCTCCACCCTCTCCTCCCACGAACCCAGCCACAGCAAGCCTCGAATCCCCCTGAAACGCGCTGTGCAGCGCCAGTAACCACTCACAGCTGCTAGCGTCCTGCCCCAGTCCCCCCTGCGCCCTCCTCACCACCGCCTCTGCATTCGCCCCTGTCAGCAGCACCAGCACCCGCCCCCGTGCTGCTCGGGCAAGGAAATCAAATTTCGCGAGGTCTGAGGTGAGGGGAGCGGCAAAGAGAGAGGCATGGAGCCCTGATGCTGATTGTGCTGACTCTGATGCTAATGGTGATGGTGCCGAAGCTGTTGCCGACGCTGATGCCGATGCTGATGTTGATTCTGATGCCGATGCTGATGCCGATGCTGATGCCGATGCTGATGGTGCCGAAGCTGATGGTGCGGATACTGGCGCTGATGAAGCCATTACCACGGGCAGCACAGTGAGTCGTTGCTCCTCCACTGCCCACGCTGCCTGACTCCACGCCGCCACCCGCTCCCACTCCCCGCACTCCCCGCCCTCCCCACCCTCCCCACCCTCCCCACCCTCCCCGCCCTCCCCATTCTCCACTCCCTGCCCCTTTCCCTGCCCACCCTGCTCTTCTCGCCCCACAGGCAGCAGCACGAGCAGCTCTACAGGCACACCCACTGCACTGCCTGTGGCATGGAACCCCACGTGCCGCATGCACCCCACCACCACCTCCGCCACTGCCCGCGCATCCAACCGCGCTCCCTTCCCCCCTGCTGGAGGCGGGGAGAGTGCGTCGGGTAGGAGCAGGAAGGAGAACTCCGGCTGGCGCCTCATCCGCCCCACACTCGCTCTCTCCTCTTCCCTCCTCCTCGCGTTTGCCTCTGGAGTCTCTTGCTCCTCCGTTCCCTTTCCGCCCTCTCCCACCCTCGCCGCCCCCTGATCTCCCCCTTGCCCTTGTGTCTCCAGGTCTCTGTCACTCTCACTTCCCCCCATCCCTCTCAACCCCTTCTCTATATCCTTCTCCATCCCCCCACCATGCAATCCCTCCCTCCTCCACTCCTCCCCAGGCACCACCATCCCCGCATGCTGCCGATACCTGCCCCCCACCGCTGCCCAGTCCACGCACCACTTGTCAAACGCGGACTCAGCCACCCACCGGTACCGCTGCAGCGCCGCATCATGCATGTCAGTCCAAAACTCCCCACCCGCGTCGACGCCGCAGCGGGAGGAGAGGGTGTGGAGGGAGGAGAGGAGGGCGGAGCGGGCAGTGTTGAGACAAGACGCTGCTTGCCGCCCGTCGAGAGAGAGGGAGGAGCGGATGGAGGAGAGGCGGAGGGACGAGAGGGAGGAGAGTGTGGGGGTGGGTATGGAGCGGAAGAGAGCAACGTAGGGGCGCAGCCAGAAGATGTACTCGAAGAGCTTGCGGAATATGCCTGCACGCATGGGGTTGAACGGGGGCCAGTGGGGGTGGTAGGAGGGGAATGGGGGTGGTGGCGAGGCGTGTTTTGAGTCGACTCAAAACACGGATGGTAGGAGAGGAACGGGAGTGGTGGTGAGGCTGTCTATCCTGAGGAGCATTCATCCACAAGAGAGCAATGATGGGGCGCAGCCAGAAGAGTTAGTCGTCGATCTTGCAGAATATGACTGCAGGGGAATGATGCAGTGGGGAGGAGGAAAGTGGGCAGAGGAAGAATGGTTGTCTATTCTTCAGGCGTCTCTTTCGAAGGCTCGCCCACTCAAAGGTTTCCCCCAGGCAAAGGCTTCCCCAGTGCACCCAACGCATGTAGCTGGCAGGCATGTGCATGGGTCGACTCAAAACAGGAGATGCTGCACTGCACCCACTGCAGAGCAGAGCCGCTCATAAGTCCCCCACCCACTGCCAGGCAGCTTCTGCATGAGCCACCACACTTACTGCATTGCAACCCCCCGTTTACGTTGCCATCCATCCTCCCACCTGAGCCCGGCGGCATGCTCATAAGGCGCCGAAGAGCCTTCATGGTGTTGCGCGCAGGGCCCATCCACTCCCTCCGCGCCTCCACCACCGCCCACTCCCACCTCTCCCGTTGACCTGCAACACCTACCACACACCTGCAACACCTACCACACACCTGCCCCGCCCCCACCTGAGCCGGGTTGCATGCTCATGAGGCGCTGAAGAGCTTCCATGGTGTTGCGCGCAGGCCCCATCCATTCCCTCCGCGCCTCCACCCACTCCCGCCGCAACCCCACCACCTCCCACGCCCCTCTCTCGCGCACCAACTCCTCATACTCCTCCCTTGCTGCCATGCGCACAGAGGGAGCAGAGCAGGTGATGTGTGAGTTGGGTCGTCTATTGGGTGAGTAATCAGAGGCAATTGATGCCGTTTGAGAATCAGTTAAGGGTAACAGCTGACAATCTGTAGGATTGGCTTATAGATGAATGAATCAAGAGAGGTGAGCGGAGTGGAGTGGACCTTTCTTGATTCATAGCGGAGTCAAGCTTCAGAGAGAAGAGGCAGCAGAATATAAAGATAGTAGAAGAGATGAGCAGCACGTGGCAGGTGGTGCTGGTGGTGAGACATGCCCTCCCCCCCCCCACGCTCCAACCCACGAAACAGATAGTAGAGGGTGGGATGGGAGGGGAGACGAGCAGCACGCGGCAGGTGGTGCTGGTGAGACAAGGAAGAAGAGGAGGAAGCGTTGGCGGATGATTAATGTGTACATACATGTGTGGACGCAGACATGCATCGCCACATACATCCATGCATGCACACACACATATACATTACCTCGAGCATACATCATCTGCTCCCGCTCCACTTGACACATGAGCGCCATGCACCTCCCCATGCCCTCCCCCCTTCCCCTCCACACACCCCTTTCCCCTCCTGCCTTCCCACTCCCTCCCCCTCCACCCCCCTCTCCCCCTCCTTCATCCCCAGAACCAGCAGCAGGGGCAGCAGCGGCAGCAGCAGTGAGGGAGGAAGCGGAAGCAGGTTCGATGGGCAGGAGAGTGGCGAGAGCAGCGGAGAGCGCGGAGGCAGTGGGGTGGTTGGAGGCGTTGGGGGGCCGGAGGAAGGAGAGGAGGAGGGGGAGCGAGGAGGGTGAAACGAGTTGGATGGTGGAGAGGGGAGAAGCGAGGAGGGTGCGAAGCTCCTGTTGAGAGGGGAGGGGGGTGACGGGAGGAGGAGAGAGAGAAGAGTGAGGGGGACGAGCGAGAAGAGAGGGAAAGGGAGCTGAGATAACTCAATCAACAAATCTTCTTATCCCCCATGCATCTGCCTGTTGCCCAACTACCACCACCCTCCTCCCTGTTGCCCCTTGCTCTCCACCCACCCTCCTGCCAGCACCTCTCAACCCCCCACCTCGCCCCCTCACCTCCCTGGCCGCGCCTCGCCCCTGACCCCCCCCCCCCTCCCCCCCCCCCCCTCCCCCCCCCACCTCCCTGGCCGCCCTCAGCACGCCGTCCATGCTGGCACCGCTCCTCGCTCGCCATTGCGCCACGTCAGCCATCAGCGCCGCCAGCTGGCGGTTGCTGAGCTGCAGAGCCAGGCGCGTGGGGTCGCTGGGGGTGTTGCGGCCGGGTGGGCACGGGTACAGGCAAAGGGGGGGGGGGGTGGGGGGGGAGTAGATACAGCCCTGGGGAGGAGTAGATACAGCCCTGGGGAGGAGTACATTCAGCCCTTGATGCATTAAAGTGTGGAAGAAGGGGAGGCGGATGGATGGGCACAGAAGGCAGATCGGCAATGTTAATTCCTCTTTTCTGGAACCCTTTACGCTCTTGCCACAGCCCCCAGCGGCGCCCATCCCCCAACACACCCACGAACCATTCCCCACCGCTTCCCACAGCTTACATACCATGGGTGCGTGCTCCCGAACCTCTGCTCCTACTCCGTACCTCTGCTCCAGGTCCGTCAGTGCCAAGCCGAACCCCTCCGACAGGCCCGGCAGGGAATCAACGGCATCCAGAGCCCCTCCTGACGATGATATGGTTACCACATTGCTGGTTACCACATCACTCGTTACGCCACCGCGCGAAAACAGCTCCCCTTCCCGGCGTCCCGTGTAGCTTGCGCCACTTGCTGCATCCCCCCCTGCGCCCGCTCCCCCCAACGTTTCCGCGCCACCCGCGCCACTGGCGGAAGCTGCAGCCGCGGAGGGGTCAGCGCGGGGGGGATTGGCGGAGAGAAGCGAGACGGCGACTAGCAGTGAGCCAATCAGCGCGCCAAGCGCAAACGGGCGGAGGAAAGGGCGGAAAGACCCACTGGAAGAATGCGGGGAGGGCACGGACCGAGGGAGGGGAGGTGGGGAGGGAGCGAAGAAGCAAAACGGGGCGGAGGTGAGGAGAGGAACGAGAGTAGTGGAAGCAGGGGAGCGGAAGCAGGGGAGCGGAAGGAGGAGAGCGGAAGGAGGGGAGCGGAAGGAGGGGAGCGGAAGGAGGGGAGCGGAAGAGAGCGGAAGGGTACAAGCAGAAGGAAGGGAGCGCGCGAGGGTGTAAGGGAGTGATTACTACGTGGTGCGTGAATACTATGTGCGAGAGTGGTAACGGAACTCGCCTAATCTGCGATTCGTGAGGCCCTAGGCTCCTCGGCGCGCCGAGCCCCGCGATAAACGACCGCCACGCACGCATGCACTCCTCGGGGTCGACACGTGGCTGCCGCTGGTCGGAGCGCGTGGCCCCTCCGTGCCGCGAAGCCATTGCGGCGGCCTTGGGAGTGCTGAACAGGAATGGGTGCTGATTGCAGCTGATGTGAGTTTGTACACTCGCTTGAGGGTTTTTGCGCATAGAGGCAGCACAGTTGAGGCTTCCACAACGAACAATTTCTACATGGACGTAACTTGATTTACCCATTCCTTGGAAATCACAAAAAAAATCTCATAAATGCGAAACATAGATATTAGTGTTAACAAACTTCATATTTATGCCCGAACTACCGGACACATGTATGGGTGACGGCAGAGGTCACCTTTGTGGCTGCCGGTGGCCAGCAGCAGCGGCTTGGAGCAGCAGAGCTGCCAGCACCACGCACGCTCTACTGTCAACCATACCAGCATCCTTCTGACTCCCCAAACACGTCTGCTGCTGGCCTTGGCCCTGCGCCTGACACGGCAGCCGCAGCAGCTTATGGGACAGCTGAGACGGCTTATGAGGCTGTCGCGGTGGTAGCTGCAGCAGCAGCAGCTGCTGCTGCTGCAGTGGCAGTGGCGGCAGCAGCGGTGACGGCGCAGCTAGGCACTCCTCCATAGGACCTGCACCAGTGGCGGCAGTCAGGGCCGGCATGCAGAGGTCATGTGGGCTTGCCGCAAGGCTGGGGACAGCTTGTGAGGCAAAGCAGCTTCCTGTGTTTGCCAGCGCTGACCCGGACGGGAATGTCGCTTTTGCTTCCGCTGCTGCTGTTTGTCGTGCTGTTGCTGCCACTGCTGGTTGTTGTGGCGGTGCTGCTGATACGGGCAATGGCTGCACACAAAACGCATGCCTCTTATCGACAGGCACAGTCACTGCTCTCTCCCTCCCACATGCAGCACGTTCTGCAGTCTCTCTGCCCTGACACGCTCCAGGGGCGCGGAGTGAGAGGTCCAGCGACAGGAGCTCCTCATCCCCTTCGTCCTCCCCACCTTGCTGCGCCTGCTTGCTGCAGCGCTGGCTTGTGAAAAACGCCCCTTGAGTGCATGCACTGATGCGGGCGCGGGCTGGACCGACAGCCATGGCAGCAGCAGGGGCAGCACCGCGTGCATGTTCCTGCAAGCCTCCCTGCTCTCCTCCTCCGTGGCTGCCCCACGCCAAGGCGTCTGCTCGAACAAGACCGCTCATCTGTGTCGCTTGCAGCTGCGATACAGGCGCGCTCACTGCCGCCCTGTTGCCACCCCACGGATGGGCAACCGCTGCAGTACTCGCTGTGTCGCAAGCTGTGATGTGCGAAGCAGCGTGAGTCGCGGCGAGCACAGGGAAGCAGGCAGCAGCACCGACGCCGCGGGAAGCAACGCCAGCGCCTGTGTCAGCGGAGTGAATGCTTGTCGCCGTCGCTCCTATTATCGCCATGTCGGTGACGTGTCGGCTCTCCTCCCCCACGTGTCCCCGCAGCGCACTCTCGCCAAGCCCAATCACAGTGTCAGCACCCGTGCTCGCCCTGTCGCTCGCCCTTTCGCTCGCCCTGTCGCACGCCCTCTCGCACGCGTCGCGGGGTGCGTCCACGCTGAGAGGGCTCGCGAGAGGGCTGGTCGCTGGGCTGCTGGGGAGCGACATCATCGCCGCGTTTCGCGCCGCGTCCAGCGGCCCAATGGGCGAATCGTCAATCGACATGGGAGACCACAAGGTCGGAGCCACCGCCTGATTGCTCGCGAACTGCTGCGAAACTGGTGACCGGTTTTCGCCAGGGGCGGCGTTATGAGTTTGCCTCGAGTCGCGGGCGGAGAATCTCGCGCGGAGGGCGGAAGGGGAGGCGCGGGAGATGTGCAGCGGCGGGGGGACTCGACGGTCGGCGGCGGAGCGAGGGCAGGCGGCGCCGGCCTCGTGGTTGTGCGCGGAGCGCACGCGAACCACCGTAAGCTGCGGCCGCCTGGGGTCGAAATCGACGGTCTTGGTGGCGCGACACGGGTTGCGAGCTCGCGACCACGAACACTTGTAATAAGACCTGGCGGTAACAGGGGAGAGGGCAGGGAGCGACACGAAATATTATTAGGAGGAAGTGAAGGACGGTTGGGGGTGCATGTAGCGGCAGTGATCCTGCGCGGCGCGGAACGCGAGGGGCAGTGATCATCGAAATAGTTGCGCGGACGGGCGACAGCATCGGCGAAGGTTACGCTGAGCAGCAGCATGAGCATGAGCATGAGGGCATATATGAACGTACCTCATGACCGTGTTCTTGCTGATGCGCTTCTCGCCGTACTTCAGCCACGCGTGGCCGTCAGCGTTAACGACGTCCGTCAACGACTGCAGGTCCGGCCGGTTGATTCTGACCGCCATCGCCGGCTCTTGCGGCGACGCCAATGACGTTGCCGCCATGGGAGTGTCTGTTGCTGGTGCTACTATTGCTTCCGGACGGATACGGCGGGTTTTAAACGGCGGTCCGGGGTCCTCAGAGCGATATCCGGGGAAAGAACTGGGCTCGGAAGCAGCGGGTGAGAGCAAAACGCCGCTTCTGGCGGGAAGCTGCTGGCTGTCTATCGTCGCACGGTAGAAATCCATGGCGGACGCGCGTCGCGCAACCTAACGGATGATGCGAGGAGAGAGACGGTATTACGCCTGCGGCCTTACACGAAGGGTTGATGAAGTATTTCTGTTACGCGTCTACGCAGTGGGTACAGCGGGGTGTTATACACAGAAAGCGCCACTGCACTCTAGCAAAGTTCCTCCTATTTTTCTTCAAGGGTGGGTGGGTGATCGTTCGATCTGGAGAAAGCGACAACAAGCAAATCAGCTGAGCAGCAATCACTCCAGCATTCCTCCTCGCCCAGCATCAGCGGAAAAAGTCTTGTCAGCTCAGCTGCAACTTTGACGAGTCTCGTCTCGACCCCGACTCGACTTTGAGTGTTGTGAGTCTGGCTCATCTCCCGACTGTGGGGTAGCGTACGTGTGGTATCTGCCGAGAAAGTTACGTCGTGGACGATCACTGACGAGCAAATCGCCGTTCTGTCCAGCCGCAGCTTGTTGGTTTTCCGTTCCGGCGCTCCGTCAGCTTTTGTTGACGAACATTCGATTTTTTTTCAAGTCGTCCGAAGAAAGGTGGTGGGGCCACTGGGGTCTTGTGGACAGATGCGCGACGCCAGCGCAGCAGCTGCATTCGTCAAGCCAGTCAAGCGGAGTGGAGATGAGACAAGAGGAAAGTCTTCCCTTTACAATGATCGTGTTTCGCGTCAATGAACAGCATTATTTAGACTACAGTGTTCGATCGTCTATAAAATTTACACACCAAGATACAGAACCATTTACCCACATACCACACCAAGTTTCACGATTATTTTCAACAGGGATCAATACCCCCCTTCAACAATGATTCGTTTCAGACACTCATCAAACCCTCACACAAATGCTTTTCTGCCCAAAGATGCAGCAAAAAGCATACTTATTGGGCACACAGTCTACCTCACCTTATGTTCACTGTAGATAGATGGCCCTCAGCTTCCCAAGCACTGAGGGCGGCAGGTCGGGCTCTCCAAACAGCATACTCTGCCCGCCACTGCCGGCACCCATGTCAGGCGCATCACTGCCCGGCACCACTGGCTTAGGCCCGCACAGAGTGCCGTGCTGCTGTGAGAGGAGCTCGTCCAGCTTCCCCCCTGGCTGGGCAAACGCCTGCCACTCTGGCAGCTTTTCTAACTTCGCCTGTCATGATTAGGAGGGGTGGGGAATACGGGATGGGAGAGAGAGGGGAGGGGAAAGGGGGGGGAGGGGGGGGGGGTGGAATGGGGAGAGGGGGGACTTATTTGCAGAGTGAGATGGATGGAGAGGGTAGGAAGACGGGAGGTGGGGAGAGAAAGGAGAAGGGAAGGGAAGGGGGTGTTCTTTAAGATAAGGTAGTGCGAGAGTGAGCGGTGCACACCTGCAGTGGTGAGAGTACACGTGGTCACACGAGGTCAGATTTGGTCACACGTGGTCACATTTAGTCACACTTGGTCACACTTGGTCACACGTGGTCACACTTGGTCACACGTGGTCACACTTGGTCACACGTGGTTACCTGCAGTGTGAGAGTGAGCGGTGAGCGGTGCACACATGCAGTGGTGAGAGTGAGGGGGTGCACACATGCAGTGGTGAGAGTGAGGGGGTGCACACATGCAGTGGTGAGAGTGAGGGGGTGCACACATGCAGTGGTGAGAGTGAGGGGGTGCACACATGCAGTGGTGAGAGTGAGGGGGTGCACACATGCAGTGGTGAGAGTGAGGGGGTGCACACATGCAGTGGTGAGAGTGAGGGGGTGCACACATGCAGTGGTGAGAGCGAGGGGGTGCACACATGCAGTGGTGAGAGTGAGGGGGTGCACACATGCAGTGGTGAGAGTGAGGGGGAGCACACATGCAGTGGTGAGAGTGAGGGGGTGCACACCTGCAGAGGCGCACTGGTGGTTGCTCTGCCCCTGATGTCAAACATGAGCTGAATGATGGGCCCTGCATGCCTGTGAACGGCACCACATGCAGACATGCACACTCCCACACAGAAGCACACATGAACACATGCACACTCCCACACACATGCACACACGCACACATGCACACTCCCACACACTTGCACACACGCACACATGCACACTCCCACACACAAACACGCCCACAACAAAAACACACCCATGCAATCCCCTTTCCTGCACCTTCCATACACAAGCCCCCATGCACTTGCATAAGCAAAAGAACACATGGACAAAACAGCGCACATGCACACACAAGTAGAAGCACAAACACACCGGGTCAGCCCAGCTCAGCACGGATTTCAGCCCAGAGAGTATTCAAAGATCAACGCTTAGCACACCAAAGACCCAAGCAGCGGAAGGCGTACCCGGGTCGTTGGCCAATGGGGGTGTTGACCCACGGAGCTGCCGTCACCGCCAGCCTCACAGGCAGGGCCATCGGACCTGCAGGAACCGCTGCTTCTGCTGCTGCCACTGCTGCTGCTGCCTGCTTCTCCCCTTCACCCTCCCCCTTGGAATCCCCTTCCCTCTCCCCCTGTTTCTCCACCTTGCCCTCGCCCTTGTCCTCCCCTAGGGCCTTCTCTTCTGCCCCCTTCCCTTCTTTCTTTCCTTGCTCCTCACTCTCCACCTTCTCACCGCTCCCTGAGTTAGCCTCACTACTAGCAGCCTCACTATCAGCAGTCCCACCAGCACTCGCACCCTCCTCACTGCTTGCATCCCCACTAGCACCCTCCTCCGCCCCTCCACCCATCACCTCTACATCCGTGTCTGTCCCTTCCTCCGCTGCTCCCCCCGTCCCCCCTGCTTCCCCCTTCTCCCCATTCACGCGCCCCCGCTTGGCCTCTGGTTCTACATCTACCTGAGGCCGCGGATCCGCCTCCCCCTCCCCCTGCCCGCTCCCCCGCGCCTTCCGCACTGCCCCCTCGTCCGCCCCTGCACTTGTGGGGGTAGTATCAGGGGAGGCGGACTCTGCAGCAGGAGCAGAAGCAGCAGCTGCTTCAGACATAGCAGCAGAATCCGAGGCAGCAGCATCAGCAGCAGTGGTGCTATCCGTGGTGGTGGTGGCACTGGCGGTAGCGGTGGTGCCGCTGGTGGTAGCGGTGGTGGCAGCAGGTGGAGAGGCGGAGGGCAGGGAAGGGGAGGAGGAGAGAGCAGTGACAGTGGATGTGGAGGAGGAGGAGGAATCGTCGGAGGGAGGCGGGTCAAGGAGAGACGAGGAGAGTGATGAGTTGGGACGCTCCAGGGCGGACTGGCAGAGGACAGCACCATGGGAGGGGGGTGTGAGGAGAACAGAAATTTGATTGGAAGTTCTTTGTTTGGACTGATAAGAGTGAAGATATGCGGAGAAAACGGCACGCATTTGAACAGAAACGGAGAGAGAGCTGGGGAGCTGGGGGGCATTAGATACATGAGGAAGCAGCACGCACGAGGAAGCAGCACGCACGAGGAAGCAGCACACACGAGGAAGCAGCACACACGAGCAAGCAGCACACACGAGGAAGCAGCACACACGAGCAAGCAGCACACACGAGGAAGCAGCACACACGAGCAAGCAGCACACACAAACGTACCATGAGGAAGCAGCACACCCCATGGTGCAGCACGTTGCTCCAGGGGAAGTCAAACAGCAGTGCGGCCACCTTCCGCCCCACGTCCTCCCGTGCTAGCCTGTCATCCACCACGCGCCCACACGCCCCCAGCACCTTGCGCAGCAGCTGCACCGCCAGGATCCGGTGCCGCCCCGCTGCGGGCTCTGCCAGCTTGCGCTGGCACTGCTGGGGCGGTATGGGCAGCTCCAGCAGGGAGACGAACGTGGGTAGACTCTCCACCACCAGCCGCAGCGGCTGGGGATGGGAAGAGAGGGAGGGGTGGTGGAGGGTGAGTGAGAGAAGCGAGGCCGCCCCGCCCCCCCGCTGCAGGCTCCGCCAGCTTGCGCTGGCACTGCTAGGGCGGTATGGGCATCTCCAGAAGGGAGACGAACGTGGGTAAACTCTCCACCACCAGCCGCAGCGGCTGGGGATGGGAAGAGAGGGAGGGGTGGTGGAGGGTGAGTGAGACAAGCGAAGCCGCCCCCCCACTGCAGGTTCTGCCAGCTTGCGCTGGCACTGCTGCGGCGGTATGGGCAGCTCCAGTAGGGAGACGAACGTGGGTAGACTCTCCACCACCAGCCGCAGCGGCTGGGGATGCCAATTGAGAGGAGGGACGGGAGAGAAATTCAAGGGGGAGGAAGGCGATTGGGTGTGGGAGAGGGGAGGGCAAGGAGGAGGGGGGGGGCAGGAACAGTCAAACAACAGTCATCAAAGATTCAACGCCTTGAGGCATAACATACGTGAAAAGAGAGCTCAATCACTCACTCACTCACTCACTCACTCACTCACTCACCAGAGGCAGCTTGTTGATGGGCGAGTTGTGGTAGGACTTGGAGGGGTTGCGGCGCAGGTCAGCATCCACCAACTCCACCACGTCTTCCAGCGCCTCCGTCATCATGCCCGAGTCAACGAGTCAAACACACGCACGTCAAGGCCAAGAGAGCTCACTCACTCACCAGCGGCAGCTTGTTGATGGGCGAGTTGTGGTAGGACTTGGTGGGGTTGCGGCGCAAATCCGCATCCACCAGCTCCACCACGTCTTCCAACGCCTCCGTCATCATGCCCGAGTCAAACACCCGCGTTGCTATGCTCCGCCTGCTGCTGCCCGCAGGTGCCACCTGCTGCAGCTTCTCGGATGCTTCCCTGATGAACCGGACAGCTGCGTCAATCTGCATGGGAAGAGGAAAGAGGGGAGAGGGAGAGAGAACAAGAGTGAATAGGGGCCTGCATGCCTGGCCGCACTCTCCAACGGACTCAACTGATGTCACCTCCCAAACCCCATGTCTCCCAATTTATCAAGTCACTACACTGCTTTCACCTTCACCCATCCACCCCACCACTCGCCTCACCCTGATCTGCGGGTTGCTCGCCTTGCTGGCCAAAGCCCCCCCCATCCGCTCCCCGCTTTCAAAGCCCCGTGCGTCCGCCATGCCCTGCCCTTTTGCTCCCTGCGCGCCCTTCTTCTCCTGTGCTGCTGGAGGCGGGCTCTCCTCATACTCTATCTGCAACACACGAGAGCCACATCAGGAGGAGCATTAACAACAGGGTTTAAGTCGTTTTATTCCTCTTACCAAGATGACCCTGTGTGTGGCAATGTTAACCCACTACGCATCACAAGAAAATTTCACTGCTTGAAACCACAAGATGTTAACCCACGAGAAAAAGAATTTCCGTGTGATAGCGTCAGCCCAGATGACAACACACCACACCACGGAACTAACAGCCCCATGCCCCCACCCACCACACCCACTCACCCTCACAAGCTTCCTGACAGCCTGCAGGTTCGCCAGACACGCCCGCCCAGCGGCCGAGATCGGATTGCGCTTCACGTTCAGGGAGATCAAATCCGGGGCGGCGCTGGGGGCGGAGAGCGCGCAGGCGAGCTGGCGCAGGCCTGCATCCGATATAAGGTTCTCTGATAAGTCCACGGAGGTGACGGTCTCGCAGTGGATGAGTGCGTCTGTGAGGCGGCGCAGCTTCTTGTCTCCCACTCGGCACCGCGCCAGCTGCACCCACATGCACAGGTCCGCCTTGCTGCGCATCGACTCCAGCGCTGCCGCAAACCTGATGGACAAGGAGGGAAGGGTGGGGGGGGCGGGGAGGGGGAAGGGGCGGAGGGAGGAGGGGGGTTGGGGAGAGGGGGTGGGGAAATACTAAGAGAAAACAATTAAGAATAAATCAAAAACAAAAAAGGATGAGAGGTTGTGAGAGAAAAAGGAAATCAGGGGGTGGGGTGGGGGGGAGAGATGGGAGAGAATGGGGTGGGGGTTGGATGGGGGGGTGGCTGAGGGAAAGAGATGTAGCTATGCTAAATTGCTACTGAAAAAGCCAAATCATCATTTCACTAAGTGGCTTCAATAGCTTCAATGGCAATAACATGAGAAAAACTTATTTAATACAAAAATCGTTGAATTCAGATTCAACGCAAAAACATCATCTGGTGTTTGAATCTCAAGGCACGGATAACCCCTACAGCATCTTCCCAAATCTTCCCCTTCCCTCTCCCCCCTCTCTTCCCCCCTTCTTCCCAACCTCTTCCCCCCCTCTTTCCCCCCTCTTCTCTCTCTCTTCCCCCTCACTTCTCCCTCTCTTCCCCATCTCTTCCCCCAAACGACCCACCTCTTTTCCGCCACCTCTACCGGAAGCATGTCATCCAGGTCCGGTTGGCACAAGGGGGCATCCGCGGTCGACGACGGGGGGAACGGCGCGGCGGGCGCGGGGTTGGCGGAAGGGGAGGTGGGCGGAGAAGCGCTCGGGGAGGCGGAGCCTGAGGAGGAGCCGTCACTGGATCCCCCGCCAGCGCCCTTCTTCTTGCGCTTTTTCTGCGAAAACCCCGCCAAAGAAACAGAAGGAAAAGGAGAATTATAAAAGGTTAAATGAATGGACGACAATGTCTGAAATTGACAAGGCTTGGGTTTGCGAAAGTGGAGGACATGCGTCCTAAAACCGGTCGGCAAATAGCCCTCTCCGTCCCCGTTCCCACCTGTTTCTTCTTCTTCTTCTTCCCCGTCCCGTTCGCCGCCTCCCCTCCTCCGTCTTTCGACTCGCCGCCAGAACCCTCCTGCTGTCCGTCAGACACCCCTCCCGCATCCTCCTCCTCCTCCTCGTCGTCCGATCCCGTGTCGGCAGCCTTGGGATCCTGAGTTTCCGGTTCTGCTTCCAGTGCGCCACCATGACCGTCGCTCATGGCTGCAGAGCAATTATTACACCCGCGCAAATTGCAACAGGAAACGGACTAGCAAGCCTAGAGCAACGATTTTAAAAGGGGCAAAAAAAAGCTTTTGACGCTCGAACTTATCCCTAGCAGAGGAGGCGTTGTGCGTATGGTGAAGCCTGTGCAATGACGAGCGATGAAAGGTGCCCGTTGTGAAATAACTACCAGCGAACACTAGGGACAAACAACAGAATGGTGGTTTTGGAAAGCTGTGGGTTGTTGAGCAGCCTATTTTTTTTGTGATGTTCATCCTCACTATTTCCCAATTCCTTGTATAAAACAAGTGCTTTCTCTTTAACGAGATCTAGAGCTCCAGCGGTGCCAGCCAGGGGAGACTGCGCGCAATTCGCTCCGCACCCCAACCGAGGCTTCCCGCGCACAGCTGTCGGGCCCCTGACACACACAGAGGGCGACACCACACCGAACTGTAGCAAACGCGCTCGGCGCATTTTAGGGCGCGGAAGGGGAAATCTTGCGCCAAACAGCCCACCGGCAGGAGCCCCACACAGCCAGATTCCAGGGGGACCCTTGGGATGCGGCACAGATGTCTCCTGGTGACATTCTCCAGGTTTTCCTCTATCTGCCTCATGGTCCCAAGAGATCTCCACTCTTGCCAATCAGGCATCAGTTCTGCTCTATTTTCTTTTCAGGCTGCTTAGCATTTGGGCCGCTTAGTGTGCTGGGTTTCTGCTTCAGGGATACCAAGGCGTACGAAGCTTCCGTGCTTTCGTGTTCTCTTTCGACTCTGAGCTAAGTCGCCATGGGTCAGCTCATCTATTCATTCGTGGCCAGGGGCACGGTAGTTCTCGCTGAATATACCTCTTTCAAGGGCAACTTTAACACCATCGCCCTTCAGTGCCTGGAGAAGATGCCACAAGAGAATAACAAATTCACGTTCCCCCATGGTGGTCACACACTAAACTATCTCCTGGAGAACGGATATGGTACGGTTCTTATTGGATCTAGGCGATTTAGCACATGATTTTCCTCCGTGGTCTAAACTTTTGGATTGTGAATCTGCAGCCTACATGGTCCTTGCGGATCAAGACGTCACTCGGCAAATTATATTCGCCTTTTTGGAGCGCATCAAGGATGACTTTACCGCCAGATATGCTAGCAAGGCTGCAACTCTTGGAGCACATGCCTTGGACAAGGAGTTTGGGTAAGTGTTTTTTCTTCTGCCACTGGCGTTTATGCTTCTCGTATCTTAATAAATCCGACTGACTAGCGCCATTTGTACACTCAGGCCGAAGCTGAAGGAGCACATGAAGTACGTGGCTGAGCACCCTGAGGAAATGAGCAAGTTCGCCAAGATTAAGGCACAAGTGGCTGAAGTCAAGGGCGTGATGAAGGATAATATCGAAAAGGTGAGAGCCACTTTCATTCATGGATAGCCGGAACCCGTAGCATTGGGCCCCGTTCTTACCTGCCACCTTGGTGTTTCAGGTTTTGCAACGAGGCGAGAAGATGGAGCTTTTGGCGGAGAAGGCCGACGTTCTGTCGACTCAGGTAGGGTCAAACTGATGAAAACTTGCTCTCGAGGTATTTGTCACGTTGCAACTTCTGACTCCAGCACTGACGTATTGGTTTGTGCAGGCTAGCCAATTCAAAAAGCAAGGCACTGAGATTAAGAAAAAGATGTGGTGGGAGAACATGAAGGTAAAGGCTGTTGTTATTGGCATTCTGGTGGTGCTCGCCTTGATCATCTGGCTCTCCATCTGCCATGGATTCACTTGCCAATAAGAAGCGGTCTGAGGCTCACTGTACATTAGCAGAATATGTCTCAGCTGAGCATTAATTAGTGCTCGTTTTGCTTTCTCTAGCATTGCTGCATATGTGATTCTCCATTATTGAATTATACACATCTTAGTCTCACGTATTTAAGGCACAATATTAGTACACCCTCAACATGAAAGAAGGCAAGCAGATATGTAGATGCCGTACTAGAAGCCCGAGCAGTAACATCCATTGCCATGTGCTGTTAGTGGCTAAACAAAGGTGTGCCTTTTGAGTGTTTAGCGGGTTCTTATTACATCAGCCTTATGTACAAAAGCCTCATGAATGACGCAAGCGCTTCGCTTTCTGCTCCTCAGAAAATTGCTTGACATCTTGAGCAGTAATCACATGATCAGTACCTGCAAACTTTGCCTGCAAGAGACGGAAAACATTACAAGGGGTAAATAAAGAGGGAAGTGGGGCAGGAGGGGAGGGAGGGGAGGGAAGGAGGGGAGGGAGGGAGGGGAGGGGAAGGGAGGGGAGGGAGGATAAGAAGTGGGGGTAAGGGAAGAGGGTGGTAGGAGGGGGTTGTTATGGCAACTCGTGTCTCTGAACAGCAGAAAGACCTTGACAGAGAAGAAAAGGTTCAATAATTGCCTTCTGGTGTTCAGGCTTACCAGAAACTCCTGAAAATCGGACTTGAAGCTGTTCAGGCCATGAATGATTTCCAACTGAGCAACCCGGTCCATGCTCTGAAACTGAGCTTCAACCTGTACACTAGCTTCCTCCTCCTTCTGTTGCCGTTTCTTCTTTGCTTCTTCCTCATAGAATTCGACAGTATCCTCGACATCAACTAGGAAGTCCACCCCTTGGTCCTCGTAGAACCTGAAAAGAGCAGCAGCAACATGAAAAGTGAGAGGCCCTAGACATGAACAAAAATGAAGAGTAGAACTCCTGTTCAAAGCCACACCTGGTGCATTCTTGGCAGTTGCAGATGGAGGCCCTCCACCCATTTGTGAGAAAAAGAGGGCCGACTTTGGAATTATCAGAGCCTCCGAGGGCGTCGGCGTCTGAAACTGCACTAGTTGCCTTTACTGAACCATCACTCTCCTTCGGACCCGTTGGCACTGAACCCTCACTCTCATTCGGACCCATTGGCAAGTGTTCAGCCTTCGAGCTGCTTGTTGAATCATCCGCAGGTTTCTCTTTGAAAAAAGAGCTTAAAGTTCCCCCCCTCAAAACAGAGGCTAGCATGCAGTCTGCTTCACTGTCTGCGACCATTGTTCCCCGACCAGGACGTACATCAAGAGGGCCTTCATGAGATGAGCAAGACTGCTGAGGTTTGACAGCATCCACATCCTCAGCGTGATGTCCACGAGCGGCTACTACATCGTCGCATGCTTTGATGCCTGGAACTTTGAGACTTGCTTCGTCCCCATTGGCATCCGCTTCCTCTTTGCTCACCGCTTCAATTTTGTTCTCATTCCCACATGAAGAAACGTCGCCAGTACGCTCTGGAGCTAGCAAGAGCTGAGGATACAGCTTCAAAAAACGGCACTTCACGGTGGCGCAGCGGTCACATATCAAGTTCGAGAATTCCTCAGGGGCCTGCAAAAAAAAAAGATACGCAAGTTGGATTCCATATATGCTGCACATGCCAGAAAAATTAAGCAGGTTTGTAAGGTATACCTCAAACACCGGCTCAAGGCCCAGATGATGCTCATGGAACCAATCTTCGCACACGACACACTGTATCATGTCCGTTTCTCCGTCTTGGGCTTCAGCCTCTGGATCAGGATACGGCCTTCGACAGTTGCAGTATACACCCGCGTAATTCTGGTTGTACTCGTTGCGTTCATTCAAAGGATCTTTGTCAGGTTTCAGCTGGCATGAAGGAACAGCCGACCCGTGAAACTTGGATGTGCCACAGTCACACCGAAATCGACGCTTCGTATATAGCTCCACAAGCTAACAAATGGGGGGAAATGGCAAGGGATGAGATGAGATGTATGTCTGAGGGACAGGGCTGCAGAGAAAGTGCTGCCTGGAAGGGCAAAGGTGTGGAATAGACGTGATGAAACGATCAATACCTCATGCCCATCATGGCACTTCAGAGAGCATGAAGTGCAAATTCCCGCCGGTTTCCAGTCACCAGACAATATGTCTCTTAGGTCCGCACGACTGCTTCCTCCACTTCCTGCACCGCCTTCCTCAGTTCCCTTGGACGGAGTTTGAATTTTGGGCGGAGGCACGCACGTAAGGCAGGAATAGAGAGCCTGTCGCTTACGGTAGCCCATATCGTATGTGCACTTGTCGGGATCATCCGCACCGAGCACCGCGAACGCTTCCTGTAGCAGGCAAAACGTTCATGCGCCGTGTATCCAACATGGGTTAATGGATCACACGAAACTGTGAATTGTACAAGACTACTACGAAAATTGGACTGCTATGTGAAGCAGAGCCAGTGAAAGAAAAATGAGGAATAAGACACGCACCTCGACTATCTCTTCGTATTCGCCTACCGTCATCGCCTCCTCCTCCTCCTGAAATATATCCGCCATGGAAGGCGCGGCGACAAAAAGCGCAAGAACAAGATGCAAGCAAGCAAAGATCAGAAAGCAAGAGGAGGGACCGAAGCCTGTCACGAATGACGGGACCAAAAAGGCCAAATTCCTGCTCGTATGAAGTCCAGACAAGCCCAGGTTTGTCCCTCGGTGTTGCACGGAAACCGCCGCACAGAAAATGAACGCGGGAGTCGTTCACAACCGTCGATCTAATTAGAATGTTTGTATTTCACGGTTGGGATGTACCTCAAAGCTACAATCGCGTACATTGCTTCATAAATACATTCGTTTCCATATATGCGTGAAATAATCAAAGCCACAAGAGTCGTGTGCTTCCACAAATCAGATTTGCACCAATCCATCAATTCCGCCAGTGCCCTCCTGCTTGGTGCAATGGACACCCTACCAATTCGCGTTTCCACAAGCGATTCCGTCCGTTCATCGCCACCACGGTACCGCATCGCATGCGCTTTCGCGCCAAAGAAGGTGCGATCCTTCCTGACGCCTTCGCTGATCGCCGCATGCTTGGCGAAGGGCATCGAAATCGTCCCCGTTGATTCTTCCCGAAGCCTTCTGGAGTACCAGAGTAATAGCGAGGAAAACGAGCACGCCAGAGATGTCCCGCAAAAAACGCCGTTTGATGCGGTAGTGCATAAGGTGCTCACGGCGGAATGGGCTGATCAGCTGCGGATATTAACTGAACGATTTCCCACTTTCGCAGGGCGAATTGTGGATCCGCCGGAGAGAATCGCTCGCGTGTGTAACCGCGCTTCGATGCTTCAAGGCCTGCTTCCTGATGCTGACACGTGTCAGGCCACTGAAATCTCGAAGCTGGCAGGAGAACATGCAGCAGTGGGAATGGAAGCGACGGGAGGTTGGCGACAAGGGGAAGGGGAAGGAAAGGGCCGGAGATGGGAGATAGTACCTGGCTTTTTTGTGTGCGTGCCTCAGCAGATGGTGCTTACTCTGAGTGAGCTACGGCGGCTAGCAGTAAATCCTCAAGATGGCCCAGGTGGCTCCGCCGCGGCTTTGCATGACGTTCTACAGAGTCAAGGTCTTTCTTTTCCTCTGGTGGCCAAGCCTGTGGAAGCCAATGGGAGCACTGCGTCTCACTCGCTCTCTCTCGTCTTCAACACGCATGGCCTCTTGGCTCTTGCCAATTCCCTTGCTGCAGTACCGGCGATTACCACCCCTGCCTCCTCGGCTGCTGTTGGCGCTGCTTGTATCCGAGCTTCTTCATCTGCTCCTGCTCAGGAATCCTGCAAAGAGCCATCTATTGTCCTGCAGCAATTCATCAACCACGGCAGCCGTCTCACGAAGCTCTATGTCATTGGCTCATCCGTGCGTTGTGAGGTTCGCCCATCTCTCCCCGATGTAGGCCCTTCTCAATGCCAAGCGGATGTGTCTCCTGGTTATCTACCATTCTCCCAGGTATCAAATGCCCCTGTACCTCAGCCCATCCATCTTCCCAACGCTGGCAGCAGCACAGACAGCAGCTTGAACATGGGTACGGATGACCTTTGGCCCGGTCCTCTGCCAGACGGAGTGGCGGATGCTTTGGGAGAGCACTTGTTGAACCAGCTGGGGCTGAGGCTTTTCAATGCCGACATTGTGAGGTCTGTTGCATGCCCCAACAGGTACTTTATTATAGATGTCAACTACTTTCCAGGCTTTGCCAAGCTGCATGGATATGAGGAATTGCTATCCGACTTCTTTCTGGACCTACTGCAGAATGAATGAAATTAATGCCTTTGTATCAGTAACCCACAACTGTGCCAAGTATGCTCCCAGAAGGTACTGGTACCATATCAACCAAGAATTTGAAAAAGGCAGTGAGAAACAGATGTTGAGTGGCAGGATGTGGCTGACTCAAGCCACCCCCGTGTTCTCTCGTGTTATCTTCGCAACTGTGCATCGTCGCTGAGTGCTAGCCGCAGCAGCAGAGTATCATCAAGCGAAACATGATTTCCGGATGGCTTCCATACTGGGAAGATGTGGGCACTGGGCGCTGCTGGGGTCTCGAGAAGCTGTGAGTGGGGAAACAGGTGGAGTGGATAACAGGTTAGAGGGATGAAGAGGCAGGCCTGATAGACGTAGTATGGAACTGGGATTATGTGGACTGAAGAGACTATGACGTGTCATGAATGAGTAACAGTTGATGTAGGCATTATGGGCAAGTGGACGTACTTGATAGCCCAGTTGGTGGTAGAGATGATGTGCTGCTGTGTTCGATGCATGCACATGAACGTATACCTCTTCAGCACCTGAAGGGCACGCTCACACACAGGAACACAAACGCAGGCCACACACGTACACATGGAAGCAGAGGGAGTGTTGAGTGCATGAACAAAAGCAAAGAACGAAAAGTATTTTGTTGCCTGCACTTAACCCACCCTATCTTTCATGGCATCCCTTGATAACTCACCCCATTCTGCTGCAATGTCAGCTGCAGCACGCATGAGAGCTGCAGCAATCCCTTGTCGCCTGAATTTGTTTGATACACACACATTTGATATGTACGCATAGTATGGCCGTTCCAACGCCACTTGCCCTAAAGATTCATGATGTTGCTGCTCTGTCTGCTTCTGTAGTTGCTGTCCTGCAATTGAAGCTTCTTGTTTCTGCTCTTGTGATTGCTGCTCCGTTGCTGCACTTGGCTGCTTCTGCTGGACTGCCTGCTGTGACCGACTCGTCACATTTTGTTGCGGAGGCATGGCTTCAGCTACCACTAAGCCAGTCAGCTGACGAGCTCTCTCCTCACTCTCCTGCACCACTGCCTGCCATGCATCCTGCACAGGCCAGTAGAACAAAAAAGATTAGTGCATCTCAACCATCACAGTACAAGAGTGCAGGTCACACATCAAGATGGGAAAGTGGAACCTAATGGGGAATGCCTCAAATTCGTTTAACCAGGTATGTGAGTTGGAGGTGAACTTTAAAGTGGGATTGCCAAGTACATCCCAATTTACCTGCAGGTCAGAGATGGCGTTGTTGAGGAGAGAGGAGGCAGAGGCTGGCAGGCTGGAAGGGTACCGGCGAATTTCAGCTTGGATGCCATTCACAGCTGACCCGATACCATTCACAGCCGACCCGATACCGTTCACAGCCGACTGGATGCTGATGCTGTTTGCAGCCGACCCAATACCATTCACAGCCGACTGGATGCTGTTTGCAGCCGACCCAATGTCATTCACAGCAGACTGAATGCCGTTCACAGCGGATCCAATGTCAATGACAGCAGACTGGATGTCGCTCACAGCAGCTTGCAGGCCGCTGGCCGTGGTGGAGAGAGCAGTGAGGGCGGAGGAAGGCAGGGATACCAAGAAGCCGGAGGACTCACGAGGGCGCTCAACCTGCAAGCAAGAGGGAAAGGAAGGGCAGCAATAGCTCGGCTGAGTAAAAGGTGTGCACCGTGGGGGCATGCAGGGAGGACATACCAGGGACGCATGCTCATGTGATGGATTTCAGGTGCTGCGGGAAACTAGTTCAGACGGTTTTAGAAGTACGTTGCTCACCCCTGGAAAAATCTCATCAGACCCCAATCGTCGTAGGCTGATGTCAAGGGTACCCACAACTCTCTCCAACTCTGTTAGCCTCGCTTCAACCCCATTGGCTGCAACCCCTCCTGCTGCCTTTCCGGCTGCTACACCTGCTCTCTGCCTTCCATTTGGCACACTGACAGTATCCCCCTCCGCTCCTGCGTCCTCCAACCTGTGCTCCAGAGCAGCAACTTTGTCTGGTTGTGCTAATTCAGCAAGCTTTATTAAGGCGCCATTCGTGTGAGTGGTGAACGGCTGCTTGTTGATGTCGCCTGGTTGGGCTTGCATAGCAGCAAGGCAGACGCAGCGGATTGATTGACCTGTGGTCGAGTTTATGCGCCGTTTCATCGAGTGGAATTCCTGAGCGAAGAGAAACAGACGGGCAGAAGGAGGGACAATGGGCAAAGACAGGGATAGAGCGTCAGAGAAAGGCAGAGATGGAGTCATACAGCGCAAAGTATACGCTTCATGAAGTTGAAAGCTGCTGTGTCTATTTCGATTTGAACGCACTGCTACGCATTTACTCTTCTACATCGTACCTGTTCAGTGAATCTTTTTTTGAAGCTGTCCACAAACCTGCGTGTAAACATTGTGAACAACAATGGGAATGAAATCCTTACAACGAATTCAAGAATGTGAACATTAACAACCCCCAATGCTTATGACATTGAGTGCAGTCAGGAGCAAAAAGAGCTAGTAGCTGAATTTAAGCTTCCTAATGGAATCTCAAGCAATGCCACGTGCCTACGTTACTCAATACGGTCGTTTGATGTATCACCACCCAAGCTACAGGTATCATGTTCAGGGTGATTCCCCGTGCAAACATACACAGAGCACGCCTCTTCTCACCTCACATGCGGTTCCGTTTCACATAAGGCATCTGCTCGAAGCGCCGCTGCTGCCTGGCAGCATCAGGGTAAACGAAGGGAATGTGAGCAACGGTCAGATTAAGTAACGACGAACAGCAAATTGTGGAAGAAGGTTACGACGAAATATAAGGCAGCCTTCACCAGGCCTCTACCGTTATTAGCAGCCATACCCAGAGTTGTGGATCTTCCGTCACGCGAACAATTTCAAAATTGCGCGTGACGGCATTGTCGGGCGAGGGGACAGACACTGCAATATGGTCAGCCTTTTCAAATCGCTCGCTGCTGCTGGTTGATGCTTGCTCTATCTGACCAGCTGTCGCCGTTGCTGCTTCGCGGTCCGCGTTGACTACTGCTCGTAATTTGTGGGAGGCACGAGTTGGAACCAGCAGCAGATCGTGCCGAGAACGCGCAGCTGCGTCAACATGACGCCTACAGGGTCGCGGTGCGTGGTGGTCTGTCTGTCCAGGGTTTGTATGAAATTCAGAAGACACATTGGTGCAGCCGAGGGCTGAAGCACAAGGTGATGGAGGAACAGCAGCAACAAGAGCAGTAATTGAGAGGACAGCCATGACAGACAAATGTATCAAGCCTCTGCTTCCAGTTAAAGACCAGAATAGAAGGACAAGATGCTTGTGCAGACAGAGCTGCTTTGCCAGTCCTGTGCTCTCGCGACGTTTCGAAGACCACTCGATTGCGTTGCGTCTTCCAGGGGCCGTGTCTTGCTGCTGGTAGCATTATAAATGGAGCTTTCAGTTTCAGCGATCCTTCTTACGGGCTGATATCAGCAAAATCCTACTCAAGGCGATAACTTCGAGGGAGGGAAAACAGACTTGTGTCCTGATTGTGTCGACGGTATGACATACCCAAGTGATGAAGTCGGGTTGGGTACTGTACTTGTATTTTCGATCGCTAAGGGATGATGCTGACGTGACGTGCATCCGTTCGTTGATTAGGCCACTCGCGTCAGCTGAACCCAACGTCCACCTCACGACGACAATTTGTGGCTACTGATGCATCAGCGCAGCGCGTGGAGAAACAGAACACTCGCTTCTAGCAGGATCGTGCTTTTGCAAGGTAAGAGGTGGTAACACGGTGGGATTGAATTGAACCATTCGCACCATTTCTTTTCTGACTGTCAAAGGGGGATATTGTTGGTAATACGCTAATTTCTAAATACACATATTTTACAGCTACTACACACCTGCAGTAATCTAGAGCATCACTTTTAGCCCCTGCAAGGCAATGTATGAACGCCAATTATCAACAACTTCTTTTGGGCTTGGAACCATGCCATCCAAAGGATACTTCAGCCCTAATGCTTCCCACTGCGCAGGGAACAAACAGACTCGGGAAGATGTCAAAATGGGTTCAGCAACAATACACCACCAATTGCAACATGAAGTGCTACAACAGACTTACCTTGTTGACCCCTAGCCTGTGATATGGAAGCATTTCAATTCCGACCAATGTTGGCTGCTGCTTTGCCCATTCAACCAGACCCTCCACTTCCTCCTTTGTGTCAGTCATGCCTGGGACCAGAACAAAGCGTATGACCATAGGAACGCCATAATCTCCCACTGCTTTTGCAAAGTCCAGGAACAGCTGCTGCTTTACTTGTACCATGTCAAAGTAAAGCTTCGGGTTCATTGCTTTCGTGCACAGGAGAACAGTGTCAGTGTGTGGAAGAACTTCAGCCCAGTCTTTGGCTCTGCCGTATCCTGCATTGGCGGGAATGACGAGCGACTCAGAAATCACTAGGGAAGGGAAGCGTGAAAACTGGTTAAGCAAGCTCGACCTTGCTGCAGCAATAACGGATGCCATAAGCTACCTGCTGTGTCAAGTGCTGTTGTGATTCCCAATCGGTGAGCCTCCTTGAAAACAGCACTGCAAAAGTGAGGCTGCATCATTGGCTCCCCTCCTGATATAGTCACCCCACCACCGCCCTTATAGTACGCCAAATTTTTCTTCAACCGTGCAGCAATGTCTTTGGATGATAGCCGTTGGGACTTGGCTGTCACACTGCAATTGAAAACCGACGGACGGCTTACAGCATGAGAGACGAGCTACAGCGGTAACGAGTAGGCAGCGAAGAGCATAGGAAACTGACCTCCATGTGTCTGGGTTGGCACAGAAAACACAGCGCCTTAGACATCCCTGTTCCCCAAGCAGCACAGTGAGAACACCGCTTCTCGTTTGTGCAATTATGTGCAGAGTACAAACAAGAGACAGAGCGGACATTTTCTGCTCACCTGCACGAAGACTACGGATCTAATGGCGGGCCCGTCCACTGCTGAAAACGACTCGATGGAATGGACCCGACCCCACACTTCAGGGATAACCGGATCAATGTAACCCTTAGGCACCACTCCTGGGGACATGTCTGGTAGCACTTTGTCATTTTCGATCAACTCAGGTACTTCAAAAACTCTGGTGGGTGTGGTAGACGTCACGCCCTCTGCTACTCGTTTCACCGCCGGGTTTTGCACTCCGCAGGCCTTAGCAGCGACTTTGACGGCCTCTGGTAGGCTACCGTCTGCTTTTGGCATCAAAGCCCGAAGCTTCGGTCTTGATCCAGCAGGCGGCTTAGGACTAGCCGGTTCCTGAAAAGCAGCAGCACGGCGCGGTCAAAATCGGAGTTTCTACGAAACCTTAAGCGCACATTCATATTGCGGTGAAACTAACCTGTAAAGCACTACTAGGAGGGATCCTTGTGATTTCGTCTTGTTTGTCCCCTGCACAAGACTTCACTAGAATCAGTATAAGAAAATGACCAAGACTGTGCGTCGAAAACGTCGCAGCATACCTATGGAAGCCGTGGTTAACTGTCTCTCTAGAAGCCAAGCATATCTGGACGTCCCAGGTCTAAGCCAGTCCTGCGAGTATCACGATGATATCCTGAATTAGTAAGTTGCGCAGCCTGATCGCGAATGCTACGTGCCGCTAATACGCACCTGCTTTCTTGCACGTAGAGCAAGAGAAGCTAATCTGGTCGCCATGACTGAGCTGGATCGGAGAGTGATCCCCAGTTAACAAGCACTGGCCACGCTCATCGGAAAAAGCCGGCCAATGCCAATCCCTAAGATCCAGCGGCGTTTCGGATACAGCGAGCGTACATATACTGACTCTACAGAATATCAGACTGGAATACAGGTGCACGTTCTAAGCGGTTCTTCGCGGGCGTGAATGTCATATAGGAGGATATAGGAGGAACTGAAGACCCAGCACGAAAACGTGCATATGTACATGAACACTTGTTTCCGTGTGTGACCTTTCACCTAGCAGGGGAGCGGAGAAGCCCGTTGGTTGGTCCCTCCTGTTCGATGTGAATGTCAGGTTCCGGGAATCTTGGGAGATTGGAACTTCGGCGAAAGCGAAATTGTTCTCTGCAGGTTCGATACGAGAACTTCGTCATGGATGCGTGTGAAGCTCCACCAGTGAAGCATACCGTATCAAAGTAAACTCCCCTCGAGTATTGCTGAATGTCTCACTTTCCACATTGCAGAATGTCACTTCCTGGTTGATAGGATCTCAACAAGTCAGGAGATCAAGTTGCAAGAGCAGCAGATGCGCCAGCTGCTATGAACACAGGTTCATTAGCACCATGACTTAAACAAGCACTTGCTACGAACAGTTAGATAGTTTATCCCATGATTTTACTTCTGGGGTGATGCGAGCTCCGTGTTATTGGGGTTTCACCATGTACATACCCTTCTTCTTGTCCACCATCCTGTCAGAAACACAAGGCAAAACGAGATGGGGCATGAAAGGAGTCAGGATTCAGAACCTCATTGTCTACGCTAAGTAGCAAGCTGTATACACAGACAGACCCCTCGAACTACTACGGCTTGACAATAGAGCTTCACGTACAGTTTTCCCATGGCAAAGAGGTGTCGGCCTGCCTCGTTGCAGACTGTGCCATCCGCATCCAGAGTGTACCGAGCACCAGGAGTGTCCGGAAATCCCCTCTTCATCAGAGTAGCAAGGTCCTTCTTGTGCAGCTCTCTCCCATTCACAAACACCTTAGTCTTGCCTCCAGAACAATCACTCTGCATTGGCTGCATGCCGAACTCTCTCATAAACGCCTGTTGGGTAACAAGCAGACAGGAGGGAGAAAAGGAGCTACAATTGGGCATTGCGGCAGAAAACACCACGGCAAAGTAGCCCAGAATGAAGTAGTGACAATCTGCTGCTGCTGAGGCACAGCCCTGTTTCAACCACCCACTTACAGGCCCTTACCTCTCCGAACGTAGGCCCTCAGATTTCAGCCCTAGTACGCTAATATAACCTCTGTGCAGCCTTGATTCTTCACTAGGGCTGACATATCATACTATCTTCAGGAATTACAGTTACTTCTTTGTGTGAATTTGCGGTTTTGGCTTACTTTTAACTTAGATTTGCCTGCAAATCTCATTAGATCGTTCATACGCCAAGCAGCAACTCACCGGAGTGACTCCAAAAGCTGGCCCTCCCACAGGGCCCCAAAATCCAGCTCGGCAGTCGTACCTGGAAATTGGCACGAAGTGAAAAAAAAAAAGGTGGAGAATAACATGATCAGGTGAAAAGAATGAGAAGGCAACGCACAAACAAATGTCAGTCCTCCATTGGGAACGCAAAAGACAGAACCACAAGAAGCGTGCTACTCAGCACACAACAGACGCCCGTTCTGTTTCAAAAGAAAGCAGTGCACAACATACCAGTAGCTGCCTGGCTCAATCGTGCCAATCCGCCTCTCAGCCAGGAACACAAGCTTGTCTGGCACAGGCTGTCCGTTCACATACACCTTGCGCCGGTACTGCCCCTCGCCGCCCAGCGTGGAGCTTCTAGGTGCCACCGTCATCGCATCTGCCCGCCCGGGCGGCCCACTGTACTCCGTGGCAGTGCGCCTGAAGGGCAGGTCTGCAGGAGGCCCCATCCCCGCACCCCCGTGCTGCTGCTGCTGCTGCATCTGGTGCTCGTTGAGAGACCCGCTTCTAAAGCCGATAGAAGCCGCTAGGGACTTCCCTGGGCCTGTGAGGTACCGCCTGGTGGCAGCTTGTGGGTCCATGGGGGGCTGTGGCGGCTGCTTGGGGAACCGTTTCCCTGACCCTTGCCTTGGCAAGCCCTCCTCGCTCTCCAGGTGCCCCCCTATGCTTCCCCCGGATAGAGGAGGCCTGGGTGCTTGATGCCCGTATGCTACCTTGCCCATGTGAGTGCGGCCCTGCATGGGGCTCTGCTGCTGGTATGGGTGGGGCTGCTGCTGCTGAGGAGGGCCTGAGCTTTGATGGTACATGGGCATGGAGGGTGAGAGGTTCTGGGATAAAGGGCTAGCTGCGAAGCCTGAGGCTTGCACGGGGGATTGAGAGGGATGTTGGGGTGTGAGATGATGACCCATCTGCTGCTGGCCCGGCCCTTGCTGCATCATCTGCTGCTGCATCTGCTGCTGAATGGGCTGATTCTGCATCTGCTGAAATTGCATGTGCTGCTGCTGGTGGTGCGGGTGCTGCGGCTGCAGCTGCTGTTGCTGCTGCTGCTGAGGCATGAACCCTCCAGGCCCAGCCATGCCTGGCTGTGCGAAATTGGCATACTTCTGCTGTGCTCCCGCAACCATCTGTTGCTGAAACTGAGATGCCGCCTGTTGTTGTTGTTGTTGTTGTGGAGGGTGCATATGCGCAGGTGCATGAGCTTGCTGCTGGTACACCTGCCCCATTCCCTGCTGCCCCATGCCTTGCTGCCCCATGCCTTGCCCCATGCCTTGCTGCCCCATGCCCTGTTGCCCCATGCCCTGTTGCCCCATGCCCTGCTGCATCCCTCCCTGCGGGCCCATCCCCTGTGGCATCTGAGGGGCCATGCCGTACGGCTGCTGACTGATCGACTCACCCATGCTCAACCCGCCCATCTGCTGCACCAGCCCCTGCGCACCCTGCCCATAACCCTGCACCGCTGCATGCTGTTGCTGTTGCTGCTGCTGCTGCTGCATGAGCTGCGGCGAAGGCAGCCGTGCCTGCTGCGGCTGCACGGGACCCATGCCCTGAGGCTGTTGGAACTGCGGCGGTTGCTGGTAAACCTGCAGCGGGGCCGCACCTTGCAGCGGCTGCTGCTGCAACCACTTATCATCTGGCACCGCCTGCCCTTGCTGCTGCTGCTGCGGCTGCTGCGGCTGCACAGGCAGGGGTTGCTGGTTTTGGGCCCCACCACGCGAAACAGCTACAGAGGGCGGACCGGGGAGAGGGCCGGAGGCGGAAAGGGGCATGAGCACGGGAACGCCGCCGGCGGGAGGGATGAAGACGGAGAATTTGGAGATCTTGAGGCACTTTCCGCAGCGCAGCTTCTGAACTCCGTCTCTCGGCTCCAGTTTTGGCGGGACGGCGAGCATCTGGGAGCACCACTGGCACTGCGATGGGACGAGATCGGATTTTGAAATCATGCGGGGAAAACGGTGTAGGCAACGCGAGGACAACGAAGCAAGGAAAAGGTAAGATGCAAAGAAAGGTCGATGATTCCTCCGGCTGCCTAGACACGAGCGTTTAATAACTTACCCGTACAACAGGCCGGCCTGACTTTGACAGTAGCGGCTGCGGAACGGCAGCCCCCTCGCCTGGAGCCGCCTGCGCCTGAATTGGCGCGAGCTGCTGCTGCTGTTGCGCCGCCTCGCGGAACTCCGGACCCTCTCCTGCCGCGACTGCCCCGCCCGAGTTCCCCCCGTGCGGGGGAACGCCTGATGGAGAATCGACCTCCACGTGCAGGTGCTTGGCCTTGTGCGCCGCTAGCACGCGCTGGGCCGCTAGGCTGGTGTTGGGATCCACGTGCATGGAACCCCGCTGGCCCTGAGCGGGTGTCTCGTGCACCCCCTGCTGCATGGCGTGCTGTTGGGCACCTACTTGCATTCCCTGATGTAACGCTTGGTTTTGTGGAATGTGATTTTGGTCTGAAGGCTGTCGGCCGTCCCAAGCTTCGGGTGGCGTCATGTGGGAGTTTGAAAGGCTTCCGCTCCGTGGAAGGAAGGCGGAGTTAGGCATCGGTGATTGCTGTTGGGTGGATACGGAATGCATTCCCTGCGGGGTTGATAGTCTGTGTGGGTGTCCATCTGGGTGATAGCCATTACCAGAAACGTAAGGATCTTGCTGAGGTCGTATCTTCCTACCTGGTGGTTGGAGGCTAGCCATTTCGCAGTAAGAAAAGGTCTACGTTAAGGAAAGGAGGGAAATATACATCAATCCCTAGATGTTACGGATCAAGATGCAAGAACTTCCGCGCTCCCATTTCAAATGAGTACGCGCTTCTCCTTGACAAGCCTTTCGACAATCGCGAGGATGAAATGGAATGCGTCGACCACCTAAAACAGACACGCAGGCGATAGGTACCTAAGGATGTGTCATTGCGTACTACCCGTCGCAAACAACTAGTCAAATCAGGAGTACGCCAGCAGCTTTTGCGGTGACAATGACGATGCACCACAATATTCTGCTGCAGATCACCCCCTGAAAAGATCTGAGTGCACCAGAAGCGAAGAGAATGAAAATGGTTGGTGAAAACGAGCAAGAAAAGAAAGGAAATTGGAGGTCACTGTAAGGAGGAGTGCTGCTTCTGCTCTGCTGGCGGTGCTGCGCTGCTGCTGTCAAATCTCCCTGCTTTTGCCGAGCCAGTGGGCGCTGTTCGGTTTGTCGCAATAAAATGCGCAGCTCGGGCCAAGGTCCTGCGAGGCTCGGCAGGAGCCAAAATCCCTGACAGAAGCCAAAATGGAAGTTCCGGCTTGGCGCAGAACCTGGGAATTTCGAGGTTCGTCATCAACCAGGAAAACTCAAGGTCCGCTGTTCGTCAGCGAAACGGAATTCCGCCATAGGCCTGCGACGATTTGGTGAAAGCCGTTACAGATGCGAAGAAACGTCGACCGACAGTGGGGGGAATGGAAGCTGCCACAGCAACATCAAGGGATAAAGCCAAACTCTGTAACAAAGGCTTCACCGTATTTATTCTAGGGTGCTCCTGACAAACGTTATTAGTGTTTATTTCTTCTGCTTGACCTTGATCTCTGACCCAGCTTTCATAAATAAGCCATCCTTCTTGTCATCCTCCAACCTGCACAAAATAAAATGAGAAATGAGCTCATCATTTGAACAAGAAAGATGGTGTCTCTCAAAAAACGCTACCCACTTACAGGTTACCAAGGTTAGCTGCCACTCGTCCAAACTCGTTGACAAGAGTGCCATCCGCATCCAGCGTGTATCGGCCCCCCAACGTCTCAGGAAACCCCTTCTCTGCCAGCAACTTGACATCCTTTCGATGCAGCTCTCGTCCATTTACAAGAATCTTGCTCTTACCGCCCGAACAATCCATGAGCATGGGGGCATTGCCTAGCTCACGCATGAAAGCCTGAGATCAAATGAGAGGAAAGAAAAAGTGAGTGACACAGCAATGCAACAGATCCATACAGCATGCAGTTAGGAACAAAAAAAAAAAAGCTCACTGGAATGACGCCCAAGGACGCACTCCCAACAGGTCCCCAGAATCCAGCTCTGCAGTCATACCTGCATACACAAAGACATCAGCAGCCATGCACAAGTGACTGGTGCTCAGATTGTCCCATAAACCATGAAACCACAAACCACATTGATAGAAAACAACGGAAGCCTAACTTCGTGACACAAACGAGCAAAAAACAGCATATTCTCACCAGTAGTTCCCAGGCTCGATCTTCCCAATCCTCTGTTCTGCAACAAGCACCCTCTGGTCCGGCACAGGCACCGCATTCACAACCACCTTTCGCCGGTACTGCGCATCCCCACCCACACTCATCGTCCTGCTCCGTGGCATCAGCACCGCTGCTCCCCCTCCCACGCCCTTCGCACTCGGCCCCTTCCTCTCCGTTGCTGTTCGCCGCAGCTCCACCTCCCCTCCCCCTTCACCTACACCATCTCCTGGCGCCCCGCCTCCTGATGCCCCTCCCTGTGACTGAGGAGCAGCACGAAAGGATGGAACGGTGGACAGCTTGCCTCCTGGACCTACCGTGACACGCCTTGTTGCCAGCATGTCCCATGCCTGCCGCTGAAACCGCTTCCCCGATGCTGTTCTTGGCACCACCTCCTCCCCATTCTCATCTGCTGCTGCTGCCACCGCTCCTCCTGCTCCTGCAGCTCCAGTACTTGTCATTCTGAGAGCAGGCGAAACGCCCGTGGCACTGGAGTCAGAACCGCCACTGGACTTGCGGACGTGCTTGGCTGAAGGCTGAGCTTCGCCTGGTGCTCCCTGTGATGCTCTGCGAGGCAGGAATTGCTGAGCTGCCAACCCCTGCAGCAGCTGCTGCTGCTGCTGCTGCTGCTGCTGCTGCTGCTGCTGCTGCTGCTGCTGCTGCTGCTGCTGCTGCTGCTGCTGCTGCTGCTGCTGCTGCTGCTGCTGCTGCTGCTGCTGCTGCTGCTGCGTGTCCTGTTGACTGATAACACCAAGCTGCCCAGCTCCTTGCCACAGCGGCTGCTGCTGTGGCGCCTGCTGTTGTTGCCACTGCTGCAAATCTTGTTGCGGAATCTGCTTTTGCGTCTGCATCTGTGGCCGAGCTTGCTGCTGTAAGCCCGACTGTTGCTGCAGCACTGATTGAACGGTGTCTTGCTGAGGTCTGACAGGCATAAACTGAGGGTGCTGGTAGTAACCCCCACCTGCATACACCTGACCAGGTTCACCCCCCTTGGCTAAACCCACACCAGATCCGCCTGCGAGGGAAGTAGAGACCTGGATTATCGTAGGCTGCGGCTGATACTGTGACTGAATCTGCTGCCCCTGCTGCTGATGCTGGTACTGCTGCAGCTGAAGCTGCTGCTGCTGATTCTGCTGCTGAAACTGCTGAATTTGCTGTGGCGGCTGCTGCGGTTGATACGGTGGCACAGGTCCATGCTGCAATGTGTATGGTTGCTGGGGACGAACATTGGATAGGGCCATGCCATTCAGCTGCTGCACCGCCCCATTCACAGCAGAAGAAGGAACACCATTCACCCATTGCTGCTGCTGCTGCTGCCCCATCGGACCCAACCCCACACCACCCTGAAAATGACCAAACTGCTGCTGCTGAAACGGCTGCTGCTGCTGCTGGGAAAGCTGCTGCGGTGGTCTCAGGCCGCCTGGAAAACCCCCTCCCTGTGGGAACCCTTGCTGCAGCATTGGCTGCACGCCTTGTGGCGCCATGCCATGATAGGCTGGCGCACCCGCGGGCATGGATGCTGCTGCAACGGTTCCACCTGGAACGGCTGCATTTGAAATGACTGCGTGTTGAATTGCATTTGAAATTGCAGCACTTGGAGCAGTGAACCGCGGTCCTGCCATGCCACCCGCCTGCACCTGCATTGGCATCGGCACGTGCTGAGCCTGCTGCTGCAAGTCCCACTGCTGCTGCTGCTGCGACTGCTCGTCCTCATCATCGTCTCCAGCAACCTCCCCTTCTACCAGCGTCTGATCTTTCCCCTGAGAAGCATGTATTGTCATCTGCTGCTGCTGCTGCTGCTGTTGCTGCTGCTGATGCGCCTGTTGCTGTTGATATAGCAACTGCTGCTGCTGCTGTTGCTTCTGCTGCTGACTCAGAAACTGCTGCTGCTGCGCTTGAAGCTGCACCTGGGCCTGCGTATCACCCTCCTCTTGTGCGCTCTCAACAGGGATGAGCAGCGGCAGGCCGGGCGTGTTGGGAGGCAGCAGAGTGACAGCATACTTAGACACGTGCATGCACTTGCCGCACCGCAGCCTCTGCCTGCCCTTGTGAGACGGCTGGAGGCGTGCCGGCACTGCCAACATTTGGGCGCACAACTGGCACTGCATGTGGGGGGCGGCAAGGGAGAAGGGAGAACGGAGGGAGGAACGAGAGGAGTTTCGAGTCATGAGACGGTAGAAACCGTGCCGGCATTGTCAGAATATGGGCACACCACTGGCACGGCGTGTGGGGGGCGGGAAGGGAGGAGGCGGAAGGCAGGAGGCAGAGGCATCAGGCGATAACCATAGGCATGCCAGGTGAGGGGATTTGGCTTCATACGGCCAGACAGCAGCAGGGCGGTATGGGAAGCTACAGGTGGGAGGGACGAACGATCTGTGTCTTACCCGAACGACCTGTCTGCCGGATTTGGAGATCAGGGGCGGGTGAGCAGCCAGCAGGGACGCATACAGTGCTGCAGGCCCCCCTTCGACACCAGCCCCCCCCAAACCGTTGCCTCCTTGCAGACCTCCGCCAGGAAAGCCTCCACCTGAAAAGCCCCCAACACTCCCCCCGGCACCATTGCCTTCTGAATGCCTGAAACCCGAATGGCCTCCATAGCCCCCACCCGCAATGCCCACCCCTCCTGCAGACGACCCGGCCTGTGCGGCACCAGCAGCGGCGGCAGCTGCAGCAGCAACAGCGGTCACATCTCCCCCTGACTTTCTTCTCCTGTGCTGCTTCTGCTGCTTCGTCTGCTTCGTCTGCTGCTGCTGCTGCTGCTCCTGCGGCTGCTGCTCCTGCTGCTCCTGCTGCTGCTGCTGCTGCTGCGGGTCGGAGAGTATCATACCCATACCCCCCACCGAACTTCCGCTACTACCCCTGCTGCCACTCGTGCTGCTGGTGCTGTCGTCGCTCGCCCGTCGCCTCCGCTCCTTCGCACCCGTCGCACGCGCCTTCTGTGCGACCACGCCCGTCTGCGCATTCCCCTCCTCTCCCGACGGTTCCCCCTGCGCCGCCCGCCGCACGACCTCTTGCGCGAGTTCCGCCTCAGAACCCACCGATCCAATCGTGACTGCTCCCGCGCGGGCGCGCGCCCTCCTAAGCGCAACCCCGCCCCTGCCCGCTTCCGACTTGCTCCGCGGAAGCATGACCTCCGCTGGCGGCGCCTGACTTGAAACCCTCTCTGTTTGGAACCCCTTTTCGTTTGTTCCCGCCTCCGCATCATAGGGATTCGCTATGCTCTCCGCCAACGCCGTCTGTTGCCGTGCGTGAAGGAATACCCCATTCTTTAGGGGCTTAGAAGCATGCGTACCGGCAGAAACGGATCGCGAACGCGGGAAGTCAGCGGACGGCTGGTAACGAGGCTCGTCAATTTCGTCTCCGTCCGCTAAAAGCGTCAACTCGTCTTGCCACTCCTGGGTCTGCGTCACCGGCGGCTGCGGCTGCTGTGCGTTGTAACCGTTCTGCGGGTAACCCCCCTGAAGTTGCGAGTAACCACCTGGCTGCATGTAACCATCTGGCTGTGCTGCCTCGTAAGGCTGAAGCGACGCGGCGCTCTGGCTCTTCTTCCGCCCCTTTTTCCCGCCTTTGCCTGCGCCGCTGCCGCCAGTTCGCCCCGAGTCCTCCGCCTGCCCTTCCACGGACGTATTTACAACCGCGAATTCCCCGCTATTAGGTCGAGAACGAGTCGTTTTCGTGCCCTGCTTCTCCGGGTCACCCGAAGGTGCCTCGCTACGCGTGTACCGTCCGGTTTCCCTAGACTGAACCTGCTGCTGTTCTGCCTGTTGCTGCTGTTGCGGTGGAAACGCGGGAGGCGGATGAATTGCGAACGCATCAGCGAGGTCAACAGCTGATTCGCCACAGCTGGTTACTGGTAACTCAAAATTCGTAAGACTAGTACCGGCAGATGACTTTTTCCTTCCCTTACGCGGTTTCACCTGAACTCCGACCTGAGTACTGGAGCCTGAATGCGATGACTCGTCCCAGCGGACCGCCTTAAGCGGTGACTTATCTCTGTTAGTGTCCTCCATTGCTGATGCCTTATCGTTTCACCAGGTTGGCCTTTAATTACCACTAGAAGCTCATCACTGACTATTGTGGCTTAAAATCACCACTGGATGCTACCTCTGAGGCTGCCTGTTCTAAGCTTGCGTCTCGAGGCTAAGATACAAAGGACAACGCCCAATTGTGAACCAGAACGATATGGCTGATCGAGAGTCATCAACAGTTAGCGTGCGTTTTTGGCTCACGAAAGCCAAGGCACCCCTGCGTTTCTGCACGCCTTGAGAACGTCTGATGTATCCCGCACTTGCACACGAGCAAAAATCGCAGCCTGATTCATCCGCGCAAGTTGAGCAAGGCTCGGACGAAACAAGGCTATTGATACTCGAGTCATACGTCAGGCGGATTGTGGTCGTTGAGAAAACGAGTATTGATAAAGCTTGTGAGCTACGTGGTGGAGCAGAAAACCAGAGAATGGCACGAGTGGGCAAAATGGCGGTGGCGAAGAGAAAGTGAGGGAGCTAGGTGGATGAGATATTGGCCTATGGCTCTAGTCTAGTGGTTGTTCTTGGGCCTTGGCGGCACCCTGCCTCACCTCGCCGCCGACAGTCATATCACTCATCTGAGTTCTTTCAATCTCTTATCGGATTTCTTCTTGAAAGGGTGTGTTCATTGAGACTTCACTTGCGGTTCAACGAGATGATATGCGCGGCAAAGCGTTGATATTGCATCTTGCAACGGTTAGGCAGGGTATTGCCCTTACAAAAAGTGCGTTGTGTTCCTCCAAGTATCTCTTCATCCTAACATATGGTATTCACTATTTTTGTAGAGAGAAAATGATGCATGGGTTAGTTAGGTCAGTACGCAAGCTAGTGTGCAGGTACAAGGCGAAGCTAGCGCTTTGAAATGTCCCAAATTATGTGGATCTAAAAGGTTAGAACAAACATGAAGTTGCCGAAGTAGATGGCCTAATCTAGTGGACTGACAAGAAAATGGTACTAACTGCACCTCTACAAACATTAGTAACGCGTTGGTCAGTTTGGCCAGTATGCGCGCCTGTAGTGCATGTACCATCAGGGTCGTCGCTATGATTTGAGGGCGCCTGATGCGTCAGACGGGCCCTTCGGGCCCGTCTTAAAAACCGGATTTTGTTTCTTACGATGTCTAGTGTATCAGATATTTTCGAAATTCATGTCTAACCAATCGAATGTGTTTCTCGACGCAATTGATTCAGACTTGACCCGTCACAGCAGATTCGACGTCACCCTGACACAGCAGATTCTGTTGGGCTGAGAAGTAGCCCTTAGGATCTTTGCAAGGGTAAACTCTGGGTAGGAACGATGTAATAGCGGAAGCGTTTAATAAAGTACTTGAACCACCTTGCGCTAGTGTGTGAGGGCAAAGTAGATTGATTAAAAGCAGAGAGATACAAAATTATATAAGAGTACAAGGAATATGAAAAGATACGGTTATAACTACTTTACTGTTGCTGTTGCGGTTCGATACAGTGACTGTCAGAATATTATGCTCTAGCCTGTAGTGGGGTGCTCTATAGCGAGTACAACCCTTCTAGGGTTTGCTATTTGTATCCCCATTCTTGCTAGTGTAACCCCTCCTTTGCTCGTTTCTCTCTTGCCTAGCTAGGGTTTACCTAGCTATGGCTCATGATTCTAGCTCCTATTTTGACATGCTATCAGAGCGGTTACGCTCCTGGCCTGTGGGCCCGCCTGCTTCCGCTGCCTTCCTGTGTGTCGCGCGTCCCGTGGCGCGCGATGTTCGTCAGCGCGCGGCGGTTTTCTGCCCGCCGTGCGCCCCGAGGCGCGCGGCGGTTTCCCACCGTCGAAGCGCCCCCCGTCGCCCGTCGAAGCGCTCCCCCCCGTCGCCCGTCGAAGCGCCCCCGTCGCCCGTCGGAGCGCCCCCCGTCGCCCGTCGAAACGCCCCCGTCGCCCGTCGAAGCGCCCCTGGGACCCGCGCGCGGCCCGTACGGGCTGCGCCAGGCCCGCGCGCGGCCCGTACAGCCCGCGCGCGGCCCGTACGGCCTGCGCCAGGCCCGCGCGCGGCCCGTACGGGCTGCGCCAGGCCCGCGCGCGGCCCGGGCAGCCCGCGCGCGCCTCGTCCGGCCTGCGGCAGGCCCGTGCGCGCGCCTCGTCCGTCCCCCGAGCTTCTGCCGGCGCCCCACCCCCGCTACTGCCCGCGTTCCTGTGTTAGGGTTTGGGGGTGGAGGGTATGGGGGTGCCGTGAGTGTGAGCCGTCCCCTGCTCCTCCTCCTCCTCCGTCTCCCACTGCTGCAGCTGCTGCTCAGGGGGGTGGGTGTGTGGGAGCCGAGGGTTTAGGGTTTAAGGGGGGTGCCATGGGAGTGGAGCTAGGGTTTCAGCAGGGGGTGTGTGAGAGGGGTGTGGGACGGTCGGGGGAGGTTGAGCGGAGGCCGCCGTCGTGTCGTCCGCAGCGCCTGTATTCCGGGGTTCTGTTAGCCACCGGTAGCTCAGAGAGCCGGTTGCACCTGTCGCCCGTGGGTCCGTTGCTCCTGTCGCTGCTGATCAGACGCAGAGCCTGTTACTCCTGTATTCCGGGGCCCTTGCTCCCGGTAGCCACTAGAGTTGCACCAGAGCCGTCTGTTGCCCGTGTGTCTGCAGCTTCAGTCGTCGCCTCCACTCTTCTCTCCTCTCGCCAGCCCTCCTCCTCCTCACTTGCCCTCTGTGACTGCCTCTAGCTTTGCTCATAATTGTGAACTTTAAACTATTGCTTCTTGAACTTGTGCTCAGAATGTGTGGTGACATTGTGATCCACCCTGAGCTTGTACTGCTTTGCTTGCTCTGCTGATTACACCCCACTTTGGCTATGGGGGTGTGTCAGAATATTATGCTCTAGCCTGTAGTGGGGTGCTCTATAGCGAGTACAACCCTTCTAGGGTTTGCTATTTGTATCCCCATTCTTGCTAGTGTAACCCCTCCTTTGCTCGTTTCTCTCTTGCCTAGCTAGGGTTTACCTGTCAAACATTATATGTGTTGTGCTTGTTTAGGCTACAGTGGGTTAGCCTATAGGGGGTACACAATTCTAGGGTTAGGTACTTGTACTCATTTCACTGCTAGTTCATTCATTCCTCGTTCAGTTATTCTGACATGGTTTCAGAGCAGGTCCTTCGCTAGGACCTAAGTTTTTTTTTCGGGCCCACCTCTACTAACTGCTTCCTAGCGCCTTAGTGCGCCCTACTGTCGGAGTGCTGCGTTAGCGCCTCCCCCTCAGCGCCCTCGTGTACGGCCCCTTAAGGCCCCGTCGACCCCGCACGCTGCCCCTTAGTGGCCCCGTCGCACCCGCGCGCGCCCCGATTCCGGCCCGCTTGGCCCCGTCGACCCCGCGCGCACCCCGTTTAGAGGCCCCACGGCCCCGTCGACCCACACCTAGAGGCCCCGCGGCCCCGCGCGCACCCCGTTTAGCGGCCCCGCGGCCCCGTCGACCCACCCTAGAGGCCCCGCGGCCCCGTTCGCACCCCGTGTAGCGGCCCCGCGGCCCCGTCGACCCACCCTAGAGGCCCCGCGGCCCCGCGCGCACCCCGTTTAGCGGCCCCGCGGCCCCGTCGAACCCAGCCTAGAGGCCCCGCGGCCCCGTCGCCCGCCACCTCACGGCCCCGCGACCCTGCTGCGCCTCGCTTAGCGGCCCCACAGCCCCCGCGGCCCCGTACTGCCCCGCTTAACAGCTCCGCGCAGCCGCGCATCCCGAACCGAGCCGCGCCGCCCTACCTGAACCGAGCCGCGCCGTCAGACCGAGCCGCGCCGCCCGTACCAGCAGCCCCGTCGATACTGCTGCTCCTCCTATTTCTTCTACGGCTACTACTACTGCTCCTACTGCTACTACTGCTGCCACTATGGCCAGTCCTCCCGTGCTTGCTTTCGATGCTGAGGGCCGCCCAGTGAAATTTGACACCTGGCTAGATGACCTGCACCTCTTCCTACAGCTCACTGCCAAGGAGGATATCTCACTGTACGATCATGCCCTCGGTCACGCTACTGCCCCTCCTACCACTGCAGACAGCACTCAGCGCTCACAGTGGCAGACTCGTGACGCCCACGCTCGCTTCGCTATTCGCAACTCCCTGCCACTAGACGAGCGCGAGCACTTTGGCCAGCACAAGACTGCTAAGGACCTGTACACTGCTGTAGTTGCTCGTTACTCCTCACCTGCCTCTGCCGCACTAGGCCGCCTCACCCTCCCCTACCTGTTCCCCGACCTGGCCTCCTTCAGCACAGTCGCTGACCTCATCACCCACCTCAGGACTAGTGAGGCCCGCTTTCGCGCTGCTATGCCTGACGAGTTCCTTGCCAGCAACCCCCCCCCGCTCTGGATCACGCTCTACCACATCGTCACCCGCCTCCCTGACTCTCTGCGCGCAGTCAGGGACCACTTCCTCGCTCGCTCTCCCACTGAGCTCACCATTGCCCTCCTCGAGAAGGAACTGCTTGCAGCTGAGGCGAGCATCGTCGCTGTAGGCACCTCTCGTGGCGACCCCCGCACCCCTTTCTTTGAGGGGTGTTCCCCTTCCCCTCTCCTCCCCTCTGTCGCCTCTGCTGCTGCTGTCGACCTCCTTGGTGCTGAGAAGGTCGGGGCCGCGTCTGCTCCGAGCGGGCGCCGCAGGGGCAAAGGGGGCAAGGGTGGAGGTGGCGGCGGGGGAGGCGGGAGTGGTGGCGGTGGGGGTGGCGGTGGGACTGGAGAGGCTAGTGGCGGCAGTGGGGGTGGTGACAGCAGCGGCGGGAGCGGTGGCAGGGGCGGAGGCGGCAGCGGAGGCGGAGGTGGTCGTGGCGGCGGCAGGGGTGGAGGTGGCCGGGGCGGTGGCGGCGGCGGTGGTGGTCGTGGAGGCGCTGGCGGTGGCCAGAGTCAGCAGCCCGCCCCGTCACTTCAGGCCGCCCGTGAGTGGTATGCGCAGCGTGGCTTTACCTGCACGTACGTCATTCGCACTGGTGACCGCACTGGCCAGCAGTGTGGGAGGCCGCATCCCACACAGCGCTGTTTCGCGCGCCTTACTGACGCGTGGCGT